CAGGCGCGGCTCTTCCAGCCGTTCTTCCAGGCGGACAGCGGCACTGCCCGGGAGTACGGCGGCAGCGGCTGCGGCCTGTCCATCAGCCAGAAGTTGGTTGGGCTCATGGGCGGCAAAATGGCCTTTTTCAGCGAGGTCGGGGCGGGGAGCATCTTCGCCTTCGACGTGTGCTTACACACCCCGTCCGCAAAACTCGCGGCGACGCGGGGCCGCCCGTCGCTCGCCACGGGGGGGTCCGTACCTGCGGCCATCTGCCTCCCCAGTCCGTCCCCGCTCGCAGCGGGGGGGGCGGTTATTGTGGATATCACCCCCCGGCCTCGCGTGGAGTGCACGTCGTCCGCAGTCGTAGACTCGGCGATCCCTGCCCCTGTGACCGGAACGAAGAACGGAACCAAGCCGATGGACGGAACGGACGACACGCTCCAGGGGATGGAGATGTTGGTGGTCGCCCCCCACTCCGTGCGGCTGCGAGTGGCGCTCAGTCTCGCGCGGCGGATTGGAATGCGGGCCATCGGGGTGGACAGCTTCGCACAGGGTTTGGAAGCTTTGCGCAAAGAGGGAGCGACTGTCGAACTCGCAACCAACATCAAACCATCTGGCTTGCGGAAGGTCCACGCAGTCAATGACGTCAGTCCCGGGCACGTAGCTTCCGCTCAAACCCACAGCCCCCGAACACCATTCCGCCTGGTCCTCGTTGACCTGGACTCAGCCCCTCTAGACGAAGTTTGCGCTTTTGCGCAAGCGCTCCGAGGGGTCTCCATGCTGGGCAAAACCATCCCCCTGGTCGCGCTCGCCTCGAAATGCGACGGGGCGTCTGAGGCGCGCATTCGAGAGGCGGGCTTCGGCCACGTGGTACCGAAACCCCTCCGAGAGGGATCCCTGGGCGTACAGCTGCGGCAGGCGATGGGGATCGAGCTGAGGAAATCGACGGCCAGGAATAACAAGGAGATTAGCCCGTCGATCAAGGGGCGACGCGTCCTGGCCGTTGATGACACACTCCTGAATCTGAAGGTATGGCGGCACAGAGAAAGTAGCTTCTCGGTTTGCCGGTGCGATTTCGGCAATCTGCAGGAACGCGCCAGTTGACGCTGGCGCTGATATTCAAAGAGAGTGTTGGACCAGACTTACGGGTGCTGCTTTTAGAGTAACCATAGCAGCGAGTTGCGTTTTCTGGCTACAGTTTTTTTGCCACTTACGACGTATGTCAGTGTGAATTCGGCTTTGTAACAGCTGTGATGCTGGATTCGACGTGAATGATCGGTATTCGGCCCAAACGGCTGCATATACACTTCTGATTCCAGGTTGATTTCGCTCGTTGTTTTACTCGCCAGCAATCCACTTGAGCAGCTTCCAACGTAGCTTATTTCAAAAGTGCTCAGCCGCCACTCCATTTCTGGTTTGGTAAAGTCTTTCAATTCCCAATCTGACCATACCCTACCGAAGTCTCTGTTTGTCAGTTGCTTCACTTGAACAAAGCGGCGTGTAAACGCAAGAAGATCTGTTAACGACGGCTCTTTCCGTTTTCATCCCAGGTTGCTAGCAGCACGCTGGCCGCCCTAGGCTGCGTGGCGGTCTGTGCAGACAGCGGGGAAGCGGCGATCAGAGAGTTCCTGAACAGCAAGTTTGACCTCGTCCTCATGGACTGCCAGGTAAAGCGCTTGCCTTGCCTCCGTAGACAGCATTTGTTGCCTCTCGTTGACGGCCTTTTCTGGATTGCTTATCCCGTCTTTAAAGACGAGGTTTGCCTCCAAACGCCGTCGAGTTGCGATGCTCAGCAGCACCTTCCAAATTCTTTCTATACATATCTCCAGATTTGGTGTTGAGTTCCTTGACTGCCGATGCGTAGCGCAAGTGTTCGCGTGAAGCTGCTTGATGTTGCAACGGACAAAATTTCACTTCCCACTAGATGACTTGGTCATCATCTCAAAGATGGAACCTTTGTTGTCGAGAGGGCGTCTCTTGGCAATCAGTAGGGCTGACAAATCTGATTACGAGTGTGGTTCTTGCTGAATTCTTTTGTCAACCCTCTGTTTGCGCATTTGCAATGTTACGGCCAGTTTCAAGTGCCTGATCATGGCCTTACGATCGATCCAGATGCCGGGAATGGACGGCTACGAGGCAGTCCGCCGCATCCGCTACCTAGAGGCCGTGCGCTGCCGGCAGTCTGCCGAGCTCAACGGATCCCCGGCTGACGTGGCTGCTGACGTCAGCAAGGAGTACCCGGATCCCTTGAGCACGTGGCGGGAGGACCTCCCAAAGTCGGACTACTACCACGTGGCAGGATGCGCCTGCCACCGGACGCCGATCTGCGCACTCACTGCTGACGTCATGGCGGGGACGCGCGCGCTCTGCGAGGCGGCGGGCATGGACGAGTATCTGACGAAACGTAAGCAGCGCGGTTCTATTGGTGTTCTGGGACGGAGGATCGCAGAAGACGGTTTGGGGCATGCCTGGATTACAAAGAGCATTGCAACGGTTCAATGGGTCGTCCCTGGTATGTCACCGTCTGCTTGACAGAAATTGGCGGCAATATCATATCTCGGATTCAGACCACCAAGTTTTCAAAAGCTTGCAGACGAGAAAACAGTCGAATATTGCTCTGCGAATTTTTGCTGACGGCGACGTCTGCTGCAAAACCCTAATTCGTTCTTACTTTCCTTGCAGCACTTAACCAGGAAAAGCTACGGAAAATGTTGTCTCGGTTCTTCGAACGTCCAACCGAGATGATCTGAAGGGAGCCGAGGGCAATACGTCAAACCAAAAACTCGTCAAGCAATGTAATATAGGGAGAGGTTCCGTGATCGAGCCCGAGCCTACACAAAAGCGTTGCTTGGCATTTGTGGCTTCCAACTCCTGAAGCATTGAAATGAAATTAGGCATTCATCCGCTCAAGAGAAGGGGCCGGAGTAGGAAATCGAAGCGTTGGACTGAATTCTAATGGGCTGGGACGGGAATAGGGACGCATTCACTACAGCAGACCGGGTTGGTTGTCAGCGGACTCCACTTAGCAAGTCACCGGAGCCCTCGGAAGACCAGGTGTTATGGGTCTTCTGAGGACACAAAAAAGACGGCGCGGTTTAAGTTGCATGACCTCCGGCTTCGCATCGAAATGGTGCACGAGTGCGAACGTCCTCCGGGTGACCTGAGGACGCCGCAATGGTAGTCATTTGCTTCAAAACTGTCTAAGAAAAAGTCAAACGAGTTACATTGCAGGTCCCAAGCATGTCAGCATGAGGTTGGAACGTTGGTTGGCAGGAGGTTCAGGTAGACATCTATGAGGTAGGGGGTACGTTATAGGGGGGCGCACAGAAGCCAACAGGCCCTGTTGTGGGTGAGTCGGACCTCCATATCAGTTAGTTTATTGTACAATCTCCTCCAAGTACTATCCTTTAACGTGTTGAATAAGACTGTACCAGGTGACACTCAATGATGCGTTCGTTCGTTCGTAAAGACTGACCCGTTGTGTACGGCATAGTTGATCATAAGTTGAGCACGTAAACGATGGACCATGTCACGACCGTAGTGTTAAGATAAGATAAGATATGGTACACATATACCGCGAAATGCAACCTGGACCGAACCCGTTCAACTTTGATTGTCTGCGCTGATCCAATCGAGGTGGAGCTACCGTCCGACACGTCTCTATCAGCGCGGTTATTTCCCGGCAGATGAATCCGAGCTGCAATTACAGGCCGGTGCCATGATATGAGATTGTATATAATTTGCATGAAATTGGTTGTCAAAACCGTCCCTGGGCCCCATGCCCGAGACGCCGTCGATTACATACGGCGCCGGTCTAAGATCAATGATCGGATGTGTCGATCTATAATTTGCACACGTACATGTGCCACCGTGATCAACATGGACGCGCCGCCGCCAGCAGACGTACTGAGACGCGATCCACGGGCTGGCAGCTATAGAGCCTAGAACTTCAACGATTATGCATCTCGTCCAAAATTAATCGTACTTTGCATGATGAACGTATCTACTCATATAATTGCATGAATTATGAAACATGAGTGAGTCAACTGCAGGCCCGGGATCGATCCTTTAGGGACAACTGGGATCCGTTCCAATTCGGATCTAACTTACTTAGCCCTTGTACTACGTAATTTAGACTTTCAATTGAAAGAGTATGGCCGCGCTCTAAATCAGCTTGACATGTATGCCTAAGATTGTCGGAGCAGCGCGGCGCCGGCATGGCATGCGTACAGAACGTGGCAGCAATCAATATCTATGGCATTGAATTAATGTACTAGCTTGAATGAAGACCATGCGTCGGCTCGAGTTGGGGATTGCGCCGCTTCAAGGTGAGCCTAGTCTTATCATTAGAAGCCACCCATATAGCTTAAAGTATGTAGCGCTGCAAGTAATCACATACATGGATCTGAACTTAATCTAAGTTTCACAATATACCGTACATAAAATCCAGTCTCAACGGATCAGTTGCGCTTTGGACCGGCCGGGCTGCCTTAAGTTCAACTCGTCATCTGAATGTAAAGAATACTATTAAGGGCGTCCGACACGTGCCAGGACACTAGGATCTCAAGGATCTTAATGGCAATCGGACCGACGTTTTACTGGGCTAAACTTAGACGACTCTACTTTCTGAAAGAATCGGTAGCCACAGGGTGGCCCTCACCTTCTTCGACGTGCAAAGTTGCTATACAGTCCCCAACCATGTCTTTGTCTCATGTTTTCCGCAAGTTCCGTGTCCTCGTGATCAATAAGAAACTCCTTATATTCCAAATCGTCTACTTTCGTGCAAAAACTCTCAAGATCTCTCACGATATAGTTCAAGTCCAGCAACGCCATTATTTGGTAGAAAGGCTTCGCTGGATGTATGCCGTCTCCGGGCGTCACTTGCAGCCACGTGTGTCTTCTGTCCAGATACTTCGTCAACCTGTAGGCGTCAACTACTTTCCATACCTTGTTGACAGCAAAGTGCCGTTCCTGAACCTTGACAAACAGATCCGTTCTTTCGTTTCGACGGTTTGGGTCAACGTACTGGAATATCTCCTCATCGTAAGCCGTCATCGTATGGTAGATAAACTTGGTCAAATGGAGCCCTTTCGTCCCACTGACCGCCAGTGAAGCGTTTTGTTGCTCCAGTATCTGCGTCACTTGGATGGTCAGTTTCTCCAAATCTTTCTCATAGAAGAGTTGGCCTTGGCCGTACATAATGTGATGCAACCCCATGTTGTATATGACCGCCAATGGTTGGATGGAATCCTGCTGAAAGAAGTATTCGTTGTAGCTCAAAACCTGGAGGATGAACTGGACCCCAAAGTATGTCATACAAAAGTCGAAGCCCCCTTCTTCCAAATTCTCTTTCACGAGCTCGCGAGTTCGCCTAGGGTCCCAATCTTGATCGACCAATGTCCAGGTCTTACAGGCGCCTCGCTCGAGGCCCGTTCCGTTCCGAGGATCAGACGAACGGCAACAAATCCCGCTCACGAAGTCAGGCGCAGTATCTGAACTCAGATCTTCAACCATTGACGCAAACTGGTAACGAAGCAGGGAGTCACCCATCACATGCAGCCAGGCCTGCCCTTTTCTTTCAGCTAGAAAGCTTCCCAGGTCGGCAACTGAACTGAACTCCAGATTGCAGTTCACTTTCTGGACTTGGTCCAACGATGTGAGATTTGCCAATTGAAGAATATCACACGGCACCAAGCAAGCGTCCTGCTCGACCACATTGCTTGTGGGAGACCCGAGCGCTCTCCCGAGCGCAAATCGATTTGGTGCTTGGCTTGTAGCCCCAATCCTGCCAAGCCACGTCGGCAGAAGTACGGAGTCCCTGGAATATATAGAGTCGCAACTGAGGAATCCAACGAAGAACATTACAAGCCCTGCAAATGAAAGACATTTGTCATTGAAAAAGCGTTTGAGAGCTCCGGTAGGCCGTCCTTGCCGTGTAGCGTCTGAGTTGACAAGTATTCTGTGCCTCAGAGATATGCGTAAATGAACAAGTCACATAAATACCCTGTACCGGACTCTGCTGGATTAGGGAGTGAAGACAAAGTACTCAGTGAGACTCGTTCGCATGGTTTCCTTGCTTGCAACGGATGTGAGAGTTGCTTTCCAACTATTCTGGGACTGTTTTGAGAAACTTTGTGCAGAGCAATCGTTGAGTCGGTGGCAAATGCATGAATACACAGTCAGTTTGTTAGAACCACCTCTGACTATCATGTCCCTTGGAAAATGACGAAGAAGGAGTTGAGGCCTCCCCAATCCTCTTTCCAGATGGAACTTATACAGAGAATTTACCTTCCAGGTTTGATGCTTGAAGTGCATACGCGCCTATGACAAAGTACGGTTATCCAGGCTCGGAAGGTTTGAAGCTGCCTCTCTTTTACCTTTAATTCTTTGCAACTGCTGACACCTGTATGGTCCTTCATTTCTGCCAAATCAAAAGGGAATGCAACTCGCTCTGAAAGAAGCTCGGACGCTCATCTTACCTGCGGTTCCAACTAACGAGAGACTGATGGCGCCGGCCCTCATACCTGCCAGTACAAACAGGGGTCTCAGACTGTTAGGGGACTGCCAAATTCGATCAAGATACTCTTTACTTCTCCTACTATTCATCACCACATTGAGTGCGCAATATATCTAGTCGTAAACAGCAGAAGCCTGATCGCAAGCAGGACGCCAGACCCCGCCTTTTATTTTTCCTAAACTGCCCTCGTAGACCAATTCAGAACACCTATCACTTGAATTGGCCCAACTAAAGTTGGTAAATGGCACCTTCTTTCTGACCTGGCCGAAAAATAAAAGCCCCAAACCCAAGAACAATCTGCAAAAGTGAGACGTCTCGATGCTCAGCTATCTTTATAGATATTGCTACGTTCAAGGCCTGGTCAAGGGAGCTGCAAAGGTTCACAAGCTGGAATCTGGCACACTTGTTTTTGAGTCGGCCAGGCCAAGCTGCTGAAGATGTTTTCCAGAAGGCGAACGTGTCTCAGTCTGACTTACCCATTGTTTCTGGTAATTCTGGCTTGAAGCAGAAGCATATAGCTATATCGGACCCAACTTGCGGCGGTTGTTGCTCTGAAAGATGACGTATAAACTCTGCAATCTCTTCTAGTGGTCCTTGATACCAGATAATCAGTAGTAGGCGCGCGCCCTTGGGATGACCTGCACAATCCTCTGAATGCGCGTGACTGGTTTCAGCCCAGGCTTAGCAGAAGACAAGATCCCACGTTGTATGATCGTACGCCGGGCAGCATTTCCAAACTTTTGAAAGTCTTGCTGTCAAAATCCAAGCTCACTACACAGATCCTTGAGGCTGGTCACTCATCTTGCCAGACAGAGCACTGCCACGATCATCAGTTGCCTTCTCAGGTTTTCATTCTAACAGCCGAAAGCTTGCCGGCACTGCGCGCACGTAAAAGACCACTTGGAAACAGCAGGACAGCAGATTCCTCCGGAAAGATGCCCTTTGCTTTTCGTCTTCTTCCGGTACAAATGCTAAGTTGATCCCGGAAGGCGTGCTGCGCCTCCTTCACCCTCCTACTCGAAAATTACCACAGCTCCTAACCCGAATTACCCCAGGGGCCCGCCAGATCTGCTTATTGTGCAGCTAATCAGGCTAATGAAGGGATGGCCAAATGGATTGCACAATGACTTGATAAGATTCCTTATGAGGCATCAGAACAGGCACGACTGGCGCATGGCGTCACGACAGGATTGACCGGGTCCGTGCTTATCGGGGCAGTGCAGGTCCGTCTGTACAGTGTACACCACGTAGGTACTTCGAACAGTACCGGGATCGGTATTACGTGTTGAGTTAAATACGGCTACGTCGCGATGGATCAGGACTCGTGCCCGGGTGACGGGTGGGGTTGGTTTGGGGTTTAGGGGCGATTCGCACCCACCAACTTTAAGGCCAACTTTCCGATAACTTTCGCGTAAAGTCCGGGGGACGCGTTCGCACATAAATTCCGATAAGCTTCGATAAGCTTATCGGAAAGGTGATGCGTTCGCACCACCGCGCGGGACACCGATAAGTAATCGGCGCAGCGTTCGCACCCGCGGGCTGATAAGGATGTCTTATCTGCGCGGCGTTCGCACATAAATACCGATTACCGATAAGCAATCGGCATTGCATGCGCACCCGCGCCGATAAGACCTCAACTTTTAAATTTGTAATCGACCGATAAGGAATTGCCCCAGATTGCCCCAGGAACCTAAAGTAGCCCCCCCCCCTACTTTTAGCTCCGTTTTCAGTACTTTTCAGTACGTTGTGTACTTGATTTGGATTATGAGCAATTATGTCGACGGTGCGTGGAGATTTTCGAAATTTTATTATCGAAATCCCAATAGGGAAGCTTATAGGATTCTTATCGGATCGGCGTGACTTTCCGATAAGCAAAGTACCGATAAGGAGTTATCGGAAAGTTGCCCGAGTTTTGCGCCGATCCGATAAGGTTATCGGAAAGGTAAAGTCATAACTTTCCGATAATGGCCGGAATTCCTTATCGGATCGGCGTGACTTTCCGATAAGCAAAGTGCCGATAAGGAGTTATCGGAAAGTTAAACTTTACCTTTCCGATAAGAAGCTTATCGGAAAGGCAAAAGTCGGCGGGTGCGAATCGCCCCTTAGGGTGGGTGGGTACTGGTGCGGAGCATTTTAACTTTGGGTTAGGTTTGGTCCGTTTATGCCCGCGGAACTGATCTGACCCAACATTACCGGTAGTGTATTCAATTGCTCATGACTAGATAGGTAATATGGTACATACTTTGCTCTTGCGGTACCACGATCCTGTCAAGAGCGTGAACAATCACGCCCATACCGCCCATGCTCGTCGACGTGGGTACAATCGAACCGTCATCGACGGCTACGCGACGATCTAAGATTGGATCGACGACTTGAGGTCTATGACGGTGACGGCCGGCTGGCGCTTCGTTCCCGTGGGCACCGCTTGTGAAGTTGTAGCCACAGACTACGAAGCTACCTAGACCAGTACCGTCAAAATAGGTAGGTGAATATGTACAGGAGTACCGGTTCTTATGGAACTGGTAACAGTTCGATCTACCCGGTACCAAAGAACGTGGGCTGAACGTCAGAACGTGTTCATAGAAGCGGTGCATAATTGAACGTGCCCTCTTCGGCGCTTGGGAAGTCCTCACACATGAAGTGGGTAACATCCTTGCAGCTAGCGAGCTCCATTCCAACAGCGACAGATCTGTGGGCCACTTCAGATCAGGCCGTGCATTGTTTCTCACGCTAGTGTTTTTATCCAAGCTCAAATCGAAGGTGCCAGCATCATGGGCGGCGACTTAACTGACGGCTGCGAGGAAGCGTACAAAGCAGTGTTCTCGGATAGCGAAGCTACAACATGGTGCTGGTAAGTTGAATCGTACGAGTTTTGTAGCTTCTTGCTTCCTCAGAGGTTTGCTCATGGGCCAATCCAGCTAGATCCAGCTCCTACAGTCCGCTCATTTGCTCTTTATGCGGGTAGAGGTGATAGCAAGAGCTATAAGACCAACGATCAGCTTATCTTTGCAAGATTGTTGACCTGCATTGCTGGAATGCTTGGGACTTCTCAGCTTGATGGAGATGGAAAACGCTGGATGAAGCAAGTTATGCCGGCTATGGGGAAGAGCATGAACTACAGAGCAGAACTGTTTTGATAGTGAGCGATAGCCTCCACCAGAGGTTCACACTTGGAAGGTGGATTTTGTCACAAAAGTTGCAGATGCAAGGTTTGCAGATGCCTTGACAACAGAACAAGGCCGTGGTTCTGAAAGGTCGATTCCGCTTGTAATAAATGCAGGCTTGGCTATGAGGGAAACAAGCTGGCGGTTGCTGGGAAAGGTGATGGGGGCCTTCAAGAGATGCTGAGCAAGGTACATTTACTATTCCTCCAATCAGGAAAAGCAAGGTTATCTGTACCTTTTCATCTGCAGCAAAAACAACACGGTTTGCTAACATTCCCCGGAGGAAGAGCGCAAGAGGAGATTGTTGCAAGTTGCAGAAAGAAAGCTCTGAACCACCGTTGTCTTGTGAAGCAGCCCACATACTTTCCTGAAGTGCAGGAATAGGGTTGCACTGTGGGTTTCAACAAGGGTTTCAATCAGGGTTTCAACGGGGTTAGCCTAAACCTTGCCCACTTTGCAGGGGCAGCCACTGTGACGGCTTGCATCGGTGACCTCGTCCTTTCAACATTCCCATTGGCCACTCTCCCACGCAACGTGTCAAAGTCATCACATTCTGAAATGCGGCTGTGACTGCTTCAATTCAATTGACCCTAAAACATAACCCCCACGTCAAGATGGAGGCAAACCAACTTAGTTTGCCTTCTAACTCCCTAGGTTGACGACAACATCATCCTGTACGGACTACTACGAGTGAACAAGACGGATGACGGGGGGGACAGCAAGCGCGTCAAGTTTGTGTATCTCACATGGGTGGGGGAGAATGCACCTGCAATGAAGAAGGGGAAGGTGAACATGCACAAGGGCGCCTGCGGGCAGCTATTTCAGGTAGGCTGCCGCAACCTAGTCTGAAGCTTTTTCTTTTCGCCCTTCCTTAACATGACTGAACTCACTTGGTCCAGGTGGATGGGAAAAAGAAGCGCTGTCTTTTCTTCTCAAGTTGGGTACGGAACGGCATTGTTCAAAGCCTCAACTAGTCCTGGGTGCCTAGTCTCAAAGGTGGGAGCTGGAGTTGATTCTATCAGCTCCAAGATTGGCTCCTCACCTACAAATAATGGGACCTCCTAGACCATGTTTCAAGCGTCTAGAGGACAAAAGGCAGTAACCAAATGACGAATTGCAAGGAAGGGGCCCTTTTGTGAATCAGGGCCCGGGGGTAAAGCTGTAACACCTTGACTGACTTTGCTACCCAGCTTTGTCCCCTGCTTTTCCTTAGTAGGTCAAAGAGTTGTCAAGCTGGTGACATACGCTCAATGCCAGGGAAACCAAATGAGAATCTGCCGCCAGCTTCTTGGAGTGCACTCGTTGTACTCTTTGTGCCGAAAGTGAGGGACTTGGGTAGTTGAACGCAGCCAAAAGGCTCCAGCAGATAGAAGGGAAGCAATCAGTGACTTCTGCTTGCTGCCCAGCATACAGTCTGTCAACAACTTCCAAGTTCGGAGCACCTCAATGGTTGGTAGCACGAGAAAAAGTGCTCTTGTGCTCTTCTTTGGTATCATTGTCAGTGAAGGCCTCTAAAATTCAATCCAAAAAACATTCAAGAAGGGCTCCAGATAGGCCGAATATCAGGTTCGAATAGGCTTTAAAGGCAAGCACTTTTCAGAATGGGACGTCTCGGCGCCTGAGCTTTCACAGTTCCTATTAAAGCTTGCACCCAAAACGAACGCAGGAGAGCATCTTTGAACATCTTCGTCAACCGGCTGCAGGGGTATCATATCGAGAAGCAGATCTTTGCAAAGGAGGAGCTGCAAAACTTGGAGGCTGATATCGACGACTCGCTACGGCGGGCGGGGGGTGCCAACTACGACTTGGGAAACATTCGGACTGGGGTCCAGGCGGGCAAGTCGACGGACCTTAAAAACGCGGTAAGAGTCTCAGAGCGCATTCTTGCCCTTCAGTATTGAAATACTTCTTCGAGCAGGCCCAAGGAGTTGTGGAAGGACCCATTGGCCATCATCTCAAAATTAGATTTTGCGGTATCATATGGCAAAATTATCGGTTTCAAACGGGAATGCTTAGAAACGACATCTCCTAGAGACGGACGGCTTGGCTGAGGAAATGCCTGCGGAAAGGGCCTACAGACAGCGCAACCTTTTTCACTGCGGCGAAGGCGTCTCTTAGCGCTTCCTCGATTGACTGTTGCGCTGACTGCGCAGTCACTCTCATTCGAAACGCGCCGCATTGAGTTACTCGCAGTCGAGTGACTGCTGCGCCGCATCGAGTGACTACGCGCCATTTGATGCGACGAAGGCGTCTCTTAGCGCAATCTCTCGATACGCAGCAGTCACTTGATGCGCTGACTGCGCAGTCACTCTCATTCGAATGAGAGGAAGAACGGGCAGCCGGAAGATATGGATTGAAAAAGGCTGATGCTCTGGGCGATGACTGTCGCTCTTGCTTGAGAAGTTGTTACATCTTTTGCCGAATCAGCCACTGACTTAGTTCAAGAAAGCGTCTTATGGTCTGTTTTTTGCGGCCAGCTTCTGAGTTGGTCAGCGTGTTCTTGACAAATACCCTAGAATCCGTCACCCGTTTCCTTGCTGGAAAAGGGCGACCACGGTTTAGGATGCGTTCTTGAGCGGTTGCCTTCATGAAGTTGTGCGTATTACGGGCTGTCTCACACGGTTGGTGGGAGACCAAGCACAGTTTCGAGCCTGCGAACCGAGAGCTGTTCTAGAGGGCGTAGACCGTACTCGGTCGGCAGGTTGCGTCGTCATGTGCACGTGATCACGTCCCCCGATCCATATTTCTGCTTATTCAGGTTCAACAGCTCCGGTATTTCTGGATAGGATGAGGCTACTTGCACTGCAGGCACTGAGAGGATCCGAGTTGGCAATCCTTCTGAAACCAGATTTGGAATACCAGATTGGTTTGTGAGACGCATTTGAAAGAGCTTTCTGGGAATCACTTCCTGCAAAGGACCCCAAGAGGTCTGAATCGAGATCCCTGTCGTCATTACTTGCTCTCGCCAATCAGTATCACTCCCGTGAATGCCTGTGAAACCGTCTGACTTGATTCAGGACGTCGATCTCTTGCAGAGCAAAGAGTTCTTCAGCCAGAAGGAAAAGGAGACCACCATTGCCGGCATCGTATACGACAAGGGCCCTCTCAGTAAAGAGCTGACGTCATGCGATCTGGGGGGACGGGCGATGACGGTCGGGGCGTCCGTGGCTAAGAAGAACACAGTGGGGTACGATTCGACCGTGCAAGCCTGAAAAGCGGCCGGGAGACGGGCCGTGCAAGTTTTGCGTAAATGTTCGAAGGCCGCCAGTGTTTGTATTTATACTTGGGTGAGTTATTTATCTGCGCACCGAGATGTGCGCAGCCTGTTGCGGGTAAAGTAAAGACTGATCGTCGCATCAAGATAGTCGGATTTAACGGTTGACACGCAAAAACGGCCATATGAGGCTTCATCCAGCGAACGAGAGCCGGTGGCTGGAGCCGCGCCAAGCTGAGGACTTGTTACTAACGGATTATGCACTTTTGAAAGGTCAATGACGGAGATCTCGACATTCATTGAACGATGATCGATTCTGAATTAACTGCATGGTGGCTAGTTGCGACACAATGATGCATTCAGGTCGTCGAGGCGACATTCAATCATTTCGGTGCAGTGTTATCAGAGTGACTTTGAAAGCCGAGGTAATCTGGCATGCTGCCGAAAATCAATCGGACCAGTCATATAGGGGCTCGATCGATTCTAAAACTAGGGCCAGGCTGTATTGAATCTGTGAAAGGACTGCGTTTGACAGTGAATCTGCATGAGTGAGCGTAGCCGGGGCCCGGCCCCGGCGCGTGCCGCGCTCCATCATTGCGGTCGGAAGCATTGCACGTACGGGATTCGAGGGTTGATTATACTTACGTAGTACGTAATATACTGGCATGCATGACACAAACGCATTCATGCAGATTGATCATTCCTTCTCACCGCCAAGCCAAGGAAACGATTCGACCAGACTTGCTGGTTGCCAGCGCGCCGCGCGCCCCGTGCCATGCAATCAAGGCCGGCCCGGCCTCAATCTCACCCAAGTGGGATTGAGCCGCGCTGCCAAGGGCCACTGTACATGGCAGCCCGCAATTTTCGATTCTCGCGACGCGGCGCCGCGCTGACTCAAGTGCGTGATGAAGTGGCCATGAAGCCTATGGGCGGCTGCATTGGCTAGTGACGGCGTGCGAAAAGAGAGCACAATCGGTATTCGAATTCAGTCTATAAGATGAACTCCTGGGAAACCTTGAAGGTCGGATGAGAAACAATCTGCCGCAAGAACAAGAAGCTCTCCGCTCCCTTTCTGGGCCGCAAGGACGGACTGATGACGCGTTTCGTCGTCTTTCTGATGTTAGCCTTCAAGTCGCTGTGCCCGTATTGCCGTGATTCCGTTCGTCAGAACGTGGAGCGAGTCGAGATAGGCCAGATTATACCGTGCAACGGGGATGCACATTTCCGGAGCTCCTCCGACATCTCGGCCTCATGGATCTGCCGGGTCGGGAGCGGGGTTCCAGTCTGCTTAAGCAAGGATTCTAAGTTGTTGGTTGCGTTTCTGAGGACGAGTCGTAGAGATCGCTGGAGGGGACGCTGGAGTTGGGGGGAAGGGACTTGTTAGCAGAAAGAGAGAGATTGTCCAGACCCCGGGAGGTGATGTCCGACCCCGAGTTGGCTGTCCGAGGGCTCGCGGTTTCGACCCTTGGTTATAAGGTGGGCCCTTCCCCTTTGTTTTGTTCGAGTCAACCTTTGCGTACGACCCAAACCCACCAAGATCCGCCGCGGTCCGACGTTAATTCGTTATTTCGGCGTTGAAAAATGAGGGGGGGGCAGAAATCAGGTTAAGGAAGCTGAAACGGACGTAGGAGGGAATAGAGGTCTTTCATCGTCAAAGTGGTGCCTTAACGTTGACTTGAGGCGGGGTTAGTTCGAAGGGTCCTTGATACAGGCGGATGGAAGTTTTGAGTAGACCAATCCGACTCGGCGCCACTTATCACGTCGTGCAATATTAATGATCTGTTGTACGTCCGAGGAATGCAGATGCAGCGCAGAGAAACGGAGATAAGATCTGTGACGTGTAAGGCTGGGGATACTAAGCAGGCGGTGCCTTTAGTTTTCGACGTGGTGCCCAGGCAAGTGTGCAGAGTGGTTCCGCGTCACGTCCACTCAGGTTCGTCATTTCGGAGCAGCTTCTGCTGTGTGATTTGGTCTTGGGTGCACGTGACGCTCTAGACTGATGCAGAGAGCGTTCATGTTGGCGATTAGAAACTTGTGCCCGCAGGCGGCGCTGAGACTCCATCTATCGGATGCGGACGCGTCGTTTCTGCTTTTTGTAATTGCGCGCAGCGATTGGGAAAACAGGGATGCAGAATGATGCATGCAGAAAAATGCAGAGTGAATCCTAGATCCTTGCTGATTGCATACGAATCATGGATAGGCAAGTGACGCAGAGGGGAAGTCGAATTATCCGGGCGGTCCAGATCGTCACTGATTGGAACCAGTGTTGCATGCAGTCAAATCGACAACGCAAGCCAGCAAGAGCCTGCAAACAGAAATAGTGGACACGGACTTCGACTTAGTTGCCCCCCCGACATGTACGGACCCGTCACATCATGTCGACCGCAGCCGCCGGCTCAAAACGCTTTTGAGGTCCATCAAGCCATAGCTCAGAGTATGCGTATCAGAGTACGAGGTCCTGTACTTATAATAGATTCATCCGGTCACATCAAGCAGATCTGCCAGTCTGCCGGCCTTTTGAGAAGTGAGCAACGTTTTCTATCATCATTCAACGAGGAGGGTGAGGGATCTATATAGAGAGGCGCAGCGCGCCTTCTCGCCTTCCATGATCACTAGGCAATTCCAAATTGATCAACTCGGTTTGTTAGAACCAAAAAGGGGCTGCTTGCGTCCTGCTTGCTAAAAGGCTTCTGCTGGTCAACTATGACTGCAAACTCAAGGCAGCAGTCAATAGTAGAGATTTGATCGGGAAGTTCGATTCGGAGGTTCCTTCTCATTCTAGAGCTTGTGTGTTATGGTAGGAACGGGGGCCGGCGCCATCAGTCTCTCGTTAGCTGGAACCGCAGGTAAGATGACGTTGATCAGACCTCCTCTCAAAAAGAGCCGTGTCTCCTTTTAGATCGGAAAACAGATGGACCAGGTAATCTCCTCAATAGCAAGGAATCATAGGTAAAACAAAGGCAGCTGCAAATCATTTGGCCTAGAGCATGGAGATGACCGCAGAACTTTTGCAATAGGCGCTCATGCATTTCAGAATCATGGATGGTCTTCATAAGATGCATCAAAACTGGAAGGCTCAATAAGAGCTGTATAAGCTCCATTTGACTCCGATTAGTAAGAAACTCCGGAAAGTAAGAAACTCCTTTTACCCTTCTTCGTCATTCTCGAAAGGACAACGTCAAACTCTGGTCCTGAAAAACAGACTCTGTTTTAATCCTAGAACGATTGCTCTGCACAAGCATTTTCAAACCAATCCCAGAACAGTTGGAAACAAAGTTTCACTTTTTGCTGAAATGTGACGAAAGGAAGAACATGCGAACGAGTCTCGCTGAGTACTTTGCCTTCACTCACTGATCGAGCACTAGACTCAACTGTGAACCTGTCACCTCTTCATCCCTGCGTACTTTTTAGGCAACAATTCTTGTCATTTCAAACGCAACGCGGCAAGGACGGCTTACCAGAGCTCTCGAAAAACCATTGCAATGACAAATTTGTGATATCTGCAGGGCTCGTAATGTTCTTCGTTGGACTCGTGAGTCGCGACTACATGTATTCCACGGACTCCATTCTTCTGCCGACGTTGCTAGGCAGGTTTAGGGTTACGAGCCAAGTATCAGAAGGGTGCTCCAAAAGCAATGGGGTCGAGCAGGACACTTGCTTGGTGCCGTGTGATATCCTTCAAGTGGCGAATCTTACATCGTTGGACCAGGTCCAAAAAGTGAACTGCAACCTGGAGTACAAAACGATTGCCGACCTGGGAAGCTTTCTAGCTAAAAGAAAAGGCCAGGCTTGGCTGCATTTGATGGGTGACTCTCTGCTTCGTTACCAGTTCTTGTCGATGGTTGACGATTTGGGTGGGGAGAACGTGCGTGACTTCGTGACCGGAGTTTGTTGCCGATCGTCTGCTCCTCGAAATGGAACGGGCTTCGAGCGAGGCGCCTGTAAGACTTGGACATTGGACGATCAGAACTGGGATCCTAAGCGAACTCGCGAGCTCGTGAAGGAAAACTTGGAAGACGGGGCGTTCGACTTCTGTATCACATATTTCGGGTCCCAGTTCATCATCCAAGTTCTACGCTACAGCGACTCCTTCTTTCAGCCGGATTCGGTCCAGCCGTATGCGGTCATATTCAACATGGGGTTGCATCACATATTCTATGGGCAAGGCCAACTGTCTTATCAGAATGACTTGGAGAAATTGACCATCCAAGTGACGCAGATACTTGAGCAACAAAACGCGTCGCGGGCGATCAACGGGACGACAGGGCTCCCCTTGACCAAGTTTATCTATCATACGATGACGGCTTACGACGAGGAACGATTCCCTTACCTCGATCCAATCCGTCGAAACGAGCGGACGGACCTTTTTGTCAGGATTCAGGAACGGCACTTTGCTGACAACAAAGTGTGGAAAGTAGTCGACGCCAATAGATTGACGAAGTATCTGGACAAAAGACACGTGTGGCTGCAAGTGAAGCACGGAGACGGCATACATCCAACAAAGCCTTTCTATCAAACAATGGCGTTGCTGGACTTCAACTATGTCATGAGAGATCTTGAGAGCTTTTGCACGAATGCAGACGATTTGGAATACAAGGAGTTTCTCATCGATCACCAGGACAAAGAACTTGAGGCAAACATGAGAAAGAGACACGGCTGGGGACTGTATAGCAACTTTGCACGTTAAAGAAGGTGAGCTATGGGGCCAGTTTTGCTGCATCTATCTTATGGCTACCGAGTTCTTCAGAAACAAACGTCTGTAGCTAGCTCGATAAAAAGTCGAATGGCCTATCCTTGCAAGATCTCCTTAATGCCGAATGTCAACGTGACGCCCAGTTCAAATGTTTTATTATACATTCAGGATGACGTGGATTGAATGATTATATTTGACGGATTCGTTGAAATGGACTCCCAGTATCTCTAACCTGACGGTTGGGTGACGACCTGAAAGTGCGCATACATATAGCTGATTAAGCGCACATGTTTATCGACGGAGCTAGCGGACATATGTCCTAATCAAAGCCTGCATGTAAGCTTGCATCATGATAACATATGGTAATCTGATGCGCTGCGACGCTGGGTCATGTTGGATCAGCACATGCCTGCATGGTGAAAGGTACCGCGCGTCGTCTAGCGCCTTGCAATACATATGCGGGCCGGGGGGCTCCGGCCCGCAAAAAAATATCGCCGAAGGTGCGCCGCGCACAATCGAAACGACTCATCAATGCGCATGAGTGACTGCGCGCGCAAGCATCAATGCGAATTACGGGGCCCCGGCCGGACACAGAAACAAAGAGCGTGCTCAATTTCTGCAGACGTCGAAATTTAGCCTGCGTCATGCTCATGGATAACCTCTGCTCAAAGTCCCGAGTTCAATTCCAATATGTTTTCCTGCCCAACGATCTCACATGGCATCGTGACTGTCAACTTATGCTTGCTTAGTTTGTTGTCTCAAGAAGCGGAACGTTTGTCTGAGCGTGACGCTAATACTAGGCGCACTGTAATGTCAGTTGTTGATGGTTCCAGATCAAGCTTATCAACTGACTCTCACGTGAAAGATGTCAGACCACCATTTGGTGCCGGGCAAACAGGCATTGACAGACTGTACACGACAGCTTTTTTACGCAACTCTTCACATCATCCACTGCAACTAGGTATAGGAGCAGATTGCTTCCAATTTAAAAGACAAGTATTCGTTCTAGACGGGCTTCTTCTCGCGCGCTGCAGAGCTCTTCCCCTTCGTCTTCAAGTCTGACATCAGCTTGTTGACGTAAGCCACGTATTTGTCGACCTTGAACTTGCGCTTGCACCCCGCGTAGTTCATGTACCGAATCTTGCCGAAGATTGGCCGCTCGCCCCAGCCCTACAAACACGAAATATGAAGTTTGGCTTCGAACTTGGATTCAAGAGTCCATCCAGATATCAATCAAGTTTCGTCCGTGGTTCGGCAAGTCCTTCGGTAACAAGGGGCGTGGTTCTCAATCGGTTCGACACTCTTATATTGGTCGGACCTGCGTGCAAGAGCTTCGCGTATCGTTCAAAATCCAAAAGCTGTTGTATCGCAGAAGCGCTCCATCCGACCACAGTCCAACAGCTGCGGAACCTTTCTGAGCTTACACCCTGAGTTCCGCGTTGACCGGAATGGGCTGAGCGCTCATCTCCGGTCGTCAGAACCAATGAGAACGCTTCAATCGATCACGTAATATCAAAAGTACAGACCGAGTACAGATTTTAGCCGCAGCGGTACTGTACAAAGCTGTACGCGGACCGGAGATGCGAAGCTGGCGAGCCAAGCAGCTTTTGGTCGACGCGGAACCTCACCGCGCCTGGTACGTGCCTTGTGTCAAAAGCTCAAGCAAGGCACACGTGACGTCACTGCTGACCTCACCTGGTCGTGGACACCGGCGATCGCCCACATGCAGCCGACGTACCCATTCGGGTCCCGGCCGTCAATCTCGTACTGCAAAGAAAAGTGGAAAGAAAACTGAGAAAACCGGGCCGGAAATAAATGGATTAGGACGGGGTTCACTAACCCGGTCATGGAGCCCCGCAATGGACCACATGCAGCCGACATAACCGTTGGGATCTCGGCCGTCGATCTGGTACTGCACGCATCGCAAGAACTCTCCAGTTCAATTTTCGCGGCTTCAAATGACCTTGCGAAGAATGCGGTGCGAAGGTCTTCTCTGCCCTTAATTCATGAACTCTCACTCTTTCCAAACGGCGTATTTTAACCTAGGGGCTCTTGTGAGGAGTTCAAAAGGTCCGAAGAGAAAGAAACGCTGCCAGTCTAAGTAGTTTCTCACAACCAGGAAGCAGAAGAGATCAGAACAAGCAGAAAGTCAGAAATCACTGGCAGACACGTCTCCGTCACCAATCAGTGCACAAAACAGGACTACAAACCTTGTCGTTGAGCTCGATAGCGATCGCCAGGGCTTCTTCGGGGGATGGAGTCCACTCCAGAATCTTCTTCGCCCAGTACATCCTGCAAGGGGGAAGAAGCTGACGTCAGACCGAAGTCAGCAAGGAGCCCGGTTCAAGGGGCCGGGTGCAAAATTGAGCTTCGTCGCTTCGAAGTGGTCCTGGTCCATTGCAGGGCGTTGTAACCTTGAATTAAACTGTACTAGTCTCTGTGCGACGTGAACTAGGGTTTCAAAACACACCCCGGATCGCTTCAAGCCTCAGAATATTTAGTGTGTAGCTTGCGGCAACTACGTGTCTTTGCATACATGCCGAATCTGGCTGTGAAGCACAGAGTTGTGTTGCTGTGCGGGGGATTCGAGCTGCTTTCTTAAGTTAGCCCTTTTCCACATGATAAACAAGGCGTTAAACGTCGTCAGCAATGCACACGTTTGCTACAAGCCGAATCTTCGATCCCAAACATCACAGTTCTCACCATGCATCTCGCCATGGTGAATGTCGCTAATTGTGCGCATACTTCTTGACTCGAACTCAAACACGCACAATCGCAGCGTCTGCCCTCACCGCATACAATCGTGCATCCTGTCGTGACTCATCGTGGCTACCCTGCGTATACTTTCCGAGTGGAACGCACTTCCGGAGTGGAATCAACAAATCCCTATCGCCCCACCGCATGAATCCGTGCATCTTGCCGGTGCTATTTTGCGTGTACTTCTCAAATGGGACGTACATCCATAGTATAATCAAAGAATCACAAGCGGCAAAAGTACGTCCTACCCTCACCGCATGAAGCCGTGCATCTTGCCATGGTGCACCATCTCGTGCTGGCTCGCGTTCCACAGCTCGTCGTACGTCTGCCCCTTCTCTAGTTGCTCCTTGGTGTACACGTACTCGCGCGGGTCGGCCGCGTGCTTCTGCAGCGACTCGCGCGCCCACGGGAACGCGCCTTGCAGCTGCGGGGAGACGAGGTGACGTCAGCGTGGTGCTGTCGAATGCAAGCTTCGAGAAGATGGAGAGACGTCAGCATACTTCCATCGGCGGACAGCTGAAATGACGTCACGTTCACTACGCTCTGCAGAGCCCCTGCAGCTTCTCCCGCGCCTACAGGAACGCGCCTTGCAGCTGCGGGGAAACAGGGTGACGTCAACATATCAGCGGCAGACGCCTGCAATGACGTCACGTGGTTCCCCGAAACATCTGCTTCCACGAATTCTCCGGGTTGGCTCCTGCGCCCATGGGAACGCGCATCACAGCTGCGATAATACAGAGTGACGTCAGCATGGTGGCGCAGGCAAACCCGACGTCTGCGCTGACGTCATACAGTGTTCTGGGTGCAATCTGCTCGGCGAGCTCTTTGCAGCGACTTCCCCTCCCACAAGAACGAACCGAGCAGCTGCGAGGAGACAGGGTGGCGTCAGCGTAGCTCCATCAGCGGACTTTTGAAGTCATGTAACATGATTCAGTTCGGGAACCTGAAGTATCTCCTGCGCACAGATGAACGCGCCTTGCGAATGCGAGAAAATGGGGTGACGTCAGCATGGAGTCATCGGCGTACTTGTGCAAAGACGTCAAGTCGCTCCAAAACAATTCTACAGCGTCCCCCTTGGCGCAGAGACGCGGTTTTGCAGATCTGGAGAGGGAGGGTGACGTGAGTATACCTAACTTCCGTTGGGCCAGATCAAGGCAGCAGAAGGTTATGGCCAGAAGAAAAGGTGGGGTTAAGTAGGAGCTTTATAGGTGGCAAGAGTCGGAGCGCATCATTTGTCGTTGTCGATTAGCTGATAAAGCAAAGGGACTGCTCCCCGTCTTCCCTATCGCAAACTCACGGATCACAACCGCGGAGCTTGGATGTATTGAACTCCAAGTGATGGGGAACGGTCATGGAACATAAGCTGGAAGATTCCGGCGGCTCACGTTGTCGTAGTTGGGCTGGTAGTAGCAGTAGTTGTCCGACAGCTCCCGTCGAACGATCAGCTCCTCCAGGAAAGCGTCCACCGCCTTCGGGTGGCTCTTACGGTACTTGCGCGCCTCGAGTGCCGCTCGCTGCACAAATCAAGCAGATTGTTAACAGATTGATAACCGTTAATCAATAACACAGGAAAATATCACAGACTAATAATACACAAAGCAACGTCCTCTGGGCAAGTCGCGTGGACCTGTAAAACAGCCCTGGAAAGGATTGCTGCCTACTTTGCTAGGAGAAATTCTTTTTCTTAACGCAAGCGATGAACCCCGCCGCTGTTCAGATCTGGTTAAGTGCAATGGCCCGTCTTGCGGACTCGTCGACTTTCCATCTTTGGGAGTTCTTGAAGAATGCAAACTCCTGGAGTGAACAAGGTCTGAGACTTGTGCAAGATCTGAAAAAGGTCGAGAAAGGAAAAAAAAGGAGAGCTCTCTCTACTGTTGAGAGTCCCGCACCCCAGTCTATATCGATGTTTGAGTTTCTGATGTGCATTGGGGACTGAAGATGCCGGTAGTTAGAAGGAAAATAAAGAAATTCTGTGTGCTCTCCCACATACAAAAGTTGACGCACTTCTCTGCTATCAAGGTGTCAACCCTGAAGTGAGGATTGGAAGAAGCGAGTAATACTGAGGAACAAGCGTATTGCGAGTGCCCGTTCCTACAAATCGTATCGAAGCCTGTTTACACCGAAAGTATCGAAATCTATTCTTTAACTTCATCGGTTTTTCAAACTCGAATCTCAACAGATCTCTGATCCATGGAAGGCAGTCAGAAACCAAACCAAAGCCGAAGCAGACACGCACTCCATCGACACAAAATACCAAGAGGTACTCAACATACGACGCCGACTAGGTTGAACGGCAACAGTAAAAAGATGAAGTCAAACAAACGTAAAGGGGACTTTGATCTCGGCATCTGCGGTTGCTTGCCTGCGCCGCGACGTTGCCGTAGTGCAAGTAAGGGGACATCCCTGAGACTCCGGTGGGGATCGTCGGGTCGTTCCGGTCAGCGTCGTATTTGGCAATCCCTTTTCCGAGGAAGCGCTTTAGGAGCCACTCCATCCCGGCGTCCTCTCCAGGCACCGCCCAGTCAATCTCCGGCACCTGCTTATAACAAAAGGGGAAAGGATGTATTCGGATTCTTGATATTGACAAGCGGAAGAAATACTAAAAAAATCCAACGAGAATGGATTTGAGGAGCCACTCCATGCCGGCATCTTCTCCGCGCACCGCCCAGTCGATCTCTGGCACCTGCTTATGATGAAAGAAAAAGGGATATTTGAATTAAGAAATTGGACAAGCGGAGAAAAAGAGGAAATCCAGGAGAATTGCAATGAAATAGAGCTTCAGGAGCCTCTCCATCCCGGCGTCCTCCCCGCGTATTGCCCAGTCAATCTTTGGCACCTGCTTACGATAAGAGGAAGGGGATATATTCGAATTATGAGATTTGACAAGCGGAAAGAAAAATATAAAGAAAATTCAGGATAAATCCAACGATATAGAGCTTCAGGAGCCACTCCATGCCGGCGTCCTCCCCGGTATCGCCCAGTTGATCTCCAGCGCCCGCTTATATAAGAAGCAAGGGAATATATGATGAAAGAAAGTAGTTGGTCGTCGAGGAAGCCCTTCAGGAGTCGCTCCATGCCAGCGTCTTCCTTGAAAACGCCCAGTCGATGTCCGGCCGCTGCTTATAAGAACGGGGGGCGGAGACAAATGGAGACTGAACGGTGGAAGTCGCAACGATTCGGCCTGACAAAGCATATCCGTGACTACGGTTTCTGGACGCCTTCGACGGGAAACTACAACGCAAATGCAAAAGTATTGGCTCGACTTCCTTTTACAGAGAGGACGTGGAAAAGGAACACTTTTAAAACAAGTACGCCTCCACCCTTGGAGGAACTCATTGACCGTAGATTGAGTTTGCTACCATACGTGCCAACGGGTTTACTAGAAAACAGACACGGGTCCTACCACCAAATCTCGGATGTTGTGGGCTCGTTAATGTTGTCGTGTATAACAAAACGTCGTGTCAAGATGCCGGGCAGCAACACACGCGCAAGAGTCAAGATGCCGGGCAGCAACACAAGCGCAAGATAGAACCACCTTGTGCTGCACGACGGGATCTTTTCCTTGTCTTGGCTTGCAATTCATCACTTTTCCGCCACTGGACAAAGCACAAACAGCAAGTCACGTGAAGGCACAAACATCTGGAGAATAACAGAAACGCAGGCCGCCCCCTCCGCTACTTTTCGCCTGACCCTGGATTTCTGCGCAAGTGACCATTGCAATAACCGTCTTAAGATCCTGACGTACCGCCTTGTTGGACAGGACGATCTTCAGCAACGCCTCCCAGTCGATCGGCGCGGGCGGCTCGAGAGCCCACTTGTTGGGGTTGGAAGGCAGCTCGGGATACTCTACTAGGAACTCCGGCAGGTTGCGGTGGACCTTGGTCCGGATGGTTCGCGCACCGTACCTACGAAAGTCGGACGCTCGAATCGTTATAAGTGGGCGGCTCGAGTGTCTCCTTTGTTGGGGTTATTTGGTAAACCCGGGGTACTCTGCTAGGCGGTTGCGGTGGACCTTGTTCCGGATTGTGCGGGCACCGTACCTGCGACATTTGGGCGCCCGAAACGATATAAGCGGGCGGCTAAAGGGTTTGTTTGTTGGGGTTATTTGGTAAAGTCGGGGTACTCTACCAGAAACTCGGGAAGGTTGCGGTGGACCTTGGTCCGGATTGTTCACGCACCATACCGACAAAATGTGGGCGCTGAATTGTTACAAGCGGGCGGCTCGAGGGTTCGTTTGTTGGGCTTGAATGATAAATCCGGCTTGAATGATAAATCCGGAATACTATACCGAAAACTCTGGCAGGTTGCGGTGGACCTTGGTCCAGATTGTACGCGCACTGTACCCAAAAAAATCGAACGCTCGAAATGATATAAGAAGGCAGCTCGAGTTTCCCCTTGTTGGGGTTGTTGGAAAGTTAAATGGGCGTATTCTACCAGGAACTCCGGCAATTGGTGGTGCATCTTGGTATGGAATCCTACGTCGTACACGCATCTTACCTGCAAGGAAATGGTCCCTTAATACGTTTTCAACGATTTGCAGCAACAGAATTGGTTGGAGACAGCCCTGAAGCACAAGTACGTCAATGGACGCACTTGAAGGAACCTTTGACACTCCCAAGACATAGTTTCGGACAAACCTTCAAATATACACGTAGCCACCCTATTTGAAAAGAGTCCGCATGGGTTGCCAGAACTCTCGGAATCCAACTTATTTCCAGGAGCATACGCCCTCAGACTCGGTCGCAACACTCCCTGGAACGACCTCAACATTCTTCCATGCCGCAGTCCGAGATTGACGAGTTCGGACAGCTTTCATCACTCACTCTTGCTTGTCCGAACACACCCACGTGGGCACCACGTTGTGCGCATCCACTTGGTGCACGGGGATGTTTACCAAGCTGCACACACCCCCCTTCCATTCCCGCGCGATCCGGAGAGGCGAGAAGTCGGTAACTAGGAGCGAGGTGCCCACTTTGGCAACGAACTGGACAATAGTGTCAACGGGCTCTCCCTATCGAAAGAGGAATCATCATCAGAATGAAGGGTTTAATCAAGTGAGGACGTTTCAATTGCTTATAGAGGTCGGAGCCGATGACGATTCCAGGCAGAGTGGGGAGAGAGTTGAAAACAGTGGTCTTGACAAGCGGGCCAGTGAGGTGTAGCTCTTTACAGAATGGAATAAGAAACTCTCACATGTACCTGTTTATTTCTCTTCTCTGAGGTCCGGTCTTGCGAAGGCTTCTTCTGGCGATGCCGTGAGGATACGCCTGAGTTTCAGTACTAATGAGGCAATCAACCAACAAGTGTGTGTGCAAACGTCATGGTAACAAAGGGTGAGCTCTGTGCCCTGTTTCAAGTTGGCAATCGGTGAGAAACAACAAGGAGGCCATGACACAATCTGCTTGTCTGCTTGTAAAAGCAGGGGGTGCCTGCATAGAAGGACTCAATATCTACCAGTCTCACCTGGACAATGAAGAACGGAATGTCCTTCTCTTTCAGGTTCTTCTCCATAACCCGCAGCCCCCTCAGCATAAACCCGAAATGCCGTGCTCCCGCGTGCAGGAATCTTGGGACCAGGTTAAAGATAACCGCGACCGACGAACCCTGCTTGTGCGCTTGCTCGATTGCATATAACAGAGCCCAGTTGTCCGCTGACCGCTGGTCTCTTGACATCCAATACAACACAGGCCCAGTCCCCGTGACTTCTCCCTCCCGTAGCGTCATAACCCGCTTCGGGTCAACCAACTTGTTGAGGTCAGCGGGTAATCTCGACAGCGGAGGTGTCTTCGACGAAGGCCCCGCTCCTTCGTCCTTTGCGCTGGACGGTAAGACAGCTTTCGCAGCTGCTTTTGGCACCTCCGCCACTTTCTCGGTGGCCTTCTTGACCGCTTTCGCGGCGCCCCCCGCCGCGTCTTTCACGGCGCCCGCTGTCGACTCTACGGCTTTTCCAGCTGCATTTTTGCCCTTCTTGACAGCTTTCTCGAGGAGTTCTTTGACGTCCGCACCCTCTGCGCCGCGCGAGGGGGCCTTTCGCTTGGAGGCCATTTCAGATGGACTTCCAACTGATTTGGACACGAAACCCTGAGGTTTGGAAGCTAACCCGCCGGTTTCAACAGGACAGAGGGTTTCGATTTGCGCAGAAAAGGCAGAGCGATACCTGAAGCTAGGGCTACTTGCTAAGTTAGCACAGGATCTCAGCGGCAAACCCAAAATGGTGGTCGCTTTGCAAAGAGCGTTTGCTGCACTAGAAGAGTGGATTTTGCAGAGCGGTGCCTGCAATGTGGTAGCGTGAGGAGCGGTTCTGATCAGAATTTTGCCTGTTTTGCTGCTACCGCTGAAGGCGGAACACCTGTGTGCCAATGCGTTTGGCAGAGAGCAGGCGAGCATTCGTGCGCGCAGGGCTGTGGTGGTCCACGAAGCCAGGGTTTAAACTGGCAACAGTGGCTAAACGCAAGAAAAACAAGCATGCGGCTGTTTACTTGCAAGCACCATTTCTCAGCTTGCAAGTTGCAATGAAAGAAGGTCTCTCTGCAGAGTTTGCCTTTGTCTAAACGTGGCGGATGCTTGACCGTCTAAAAGCTGCCCTAAAAGTTTCACACTTTCACGGGCCGTGCCCAGGGCCTGCCTGATTTTGCCGTTTCTTGTACCAGAGGGAAATATGGAGACTATGAACCATCGACACATGATCCTAATAGTAATAGGATGATACTAATAGATCATCCTATAAAAATAGTAATAGGATGATACTAATTGTAATAGGATGATACTAATAGTAATAGAAGGCTTCAGACTCGACATGCCAAGTTGAAAGCTCGGGTTGACTCTCGCAAACGTTGTTGACTGAACCCTGCAGAGTGTGAATACATATATGTCTTGGCTTGACTTCCTCGATCAGCATTAACATTCATTCCTGCTCATCATGCTCATGACATTCACATTGACATATTGACAATGTGACACTGACATGGCTCAGGACTCGGAGCGAATCTAGGGTTTCCATTCTTCGGCCGCAGCGCAAGACCCCCACCTCTTTTGCCATTGGAAACTTTTGCTGCCATTCCTTGTATCGAAGGTTGCTGGTTTGAAAGCGAGGTGCTAGTGCCAAAAAGGCTCTCCCTCTCTGATTTGCGCATTGCATTGACGGGACAAGAAGCAGCTGAACCGCAGTTCTATCTAGTTTCTGGCTTGCGGCAAGATGCTTGCGACTCCCATGCTACAATTGGGGGCGGTTTTTCAACCCTCAATAGCAACTTGTCGATCCTTTCACCAAGGTACGCTTTTTGGAGCTCATTTGCAACCTCTGCCCCTTGTTTGGCCGTCCCAAAATCAACTCTGCCAGTGCAGACCAGAGTCTGTGCATGCAAGCACCCCCCTCGAAGCAAAGCATGAAACAAGCCCCTCACAAAGAAGGAATGCATCTGAAGCAGTGGCATCAGCATTTTGGAATGCGAGGTGTGAGTTTGGCGGAGCAAGGGAACAACAGGATGGAAGGAGTCGGCAAGCCAGGAGAACTAGATGCAGCGCATTTGTAGCGGCCCCGGCCAGCCCCGAACGAATGGAAGACGTAGAGGAAAACGGAGAGGTGCTGATTGAGTGCAAAGACGTGTACAAGTCGTTTGGAGATAAGCACATTCTGCGTGGCGCTAGCTTCAAGATCAGGCATGGGGAGGCGGTGGGGATCATTGGGCCTTCGGGGACAGGAAAATCGACCATTCTGAGAATCATGGCGGGTCTTCTGGAACCAGACAAGGTGCGTCATCTGCCTTTCTGCAGTTCTTGCTGGTGTATGCATTAGGCCCTTTCTCAAAGATACAGGATAACGGTTTGGCGCAAGTGGAAGAATGTTCCAACCGACTCTTTTGCCGGGGGGCCAATTGAGCAAGCACACCTGAAGGAGGGTTGCCGTTTAAGCTCCCTGATACGCTCATCTAACGGGACTTTTCACATACCAGAAACCTCAACCACAGGGCAAGACGAAAGCAAGCCAGTTTGTACCTTCATGCAGGGTCTAAGCACAATAAACTGCGCCGCCTGCATTTGAAATGTGACTCATCTTTCGTCTTTCCCATCATTGTCTGCCATTATTGCAAACGCACGAACTCTAACAGCAGTAAGTACATTTGCAGAAAAAGTCCTTTTGTTGTACAGGGTGAGGTCTGGGTCTGTGGCAAGAAGAGGGAAGGGCTGATCAGCGACGAGGACAATCCGCCGCTGCGAATTGGGATGGTGAGCAGTTCTTGAACGGGACAGTTTCTCAAGGTTTGGCTTTGAGCAGAGTCTTTCAAGTTACGACCTTCCTTGTTGCACATTGGGGCTCTCTTTACGATGGGGCCAAAGCATACACCATGAGCAATCATGCTCAGAATGTGTTCAAGACCTTTCTGCGCTAGGTCATAGGGTGCAAGGTTGGGCAGCGAGGCAGACAATGATTGGCACCTGTTTTCATGTACGGGAGTGTCGCTCAGATATCATCTTACTGAGGTCCCACCCCAAGACAGCTGGGGTTATTTCAAAGATGTAGCCAATTCAGCGATCAGGGCTGAGAACCGAACGATCTCCTTCTTCTGTCAAGATGGAATTTAATTGAACCCCTTAATTCGATCAGCATGACGGCATCAGCTCAGACGCGTCGTTTCTCTCTGCTACAGGTGTTCCAGAGTGCGGCGCTGTTCGATTCACTCACTGTGCAAGAGAACGTGGGGTTCATGCTGTGAGTTTCTCACTCCGCGGAAAAAACATGGGTTCCCCTTGTGCGGTGGTGCAGGCTCAGTGCATATTTCACTTATTTGCGAGGACGACTGCTTTTCCAATCAGGATTTATGAACCAGTGTGCCTCGAAGCCGGTATTTCCAATCTGATCGGCAAGCCTGAGCTTTTCTTGTATGCTGCTTATTAGTCTCAACCGACGCCGTTCTTTCTACCGCCAAGAAAAGAGAACGTAAGAATGCAGTGTGCTTCTTTGAGTCGTCTGGCTGTTGCTCTGATTTTGCGCAGGTACGAGCACTCCGATATTCCAGAGGACGAGATAAAGAGGCGAGTGACTGAGAGCTTGATGCAAGTGGGGCTTTATGTAAGTCGCTGTCGCCCTTCTCTTCCTCCATGATGGAATTCACGAGTTTGAGCTCTGCAACTCTTCTGAGCGTTGGGAGTCACTCAGCGCCCTTCTCAGATCACCTTTGAGCTATCGACTGATTACACGATTGATCAACAGAAAAAAAGATTTGTGTTGCTGCCTTTTGTCAGGTCACATTTGTCAGGTGCTACTGAACAGCTGCTCGCGAAGTACTGTTCGGAAATGATATGATTCCAGAAATCAAGTAATTCTTTTCCCCTGGAAAGCTACATCACCGAAAGCTACATCACCTGCTTTCCGTTCGGAAAGTGATTTGTCGCATCGGTTTCATAAGCGTTTGACAGCACTAGGATTCAACTCAATCCAATTTAATTCGATTCAATTCCGGACACCCCAACGGCAGCTTGTGAGGGTCAAACGACCGCTCGGGGGCATATCTCGGCTCATTCGGAATTCAGAGTTGGATCGATCAAACAATTTCGCAACTGGTCGAATCTGCTCAATCGATTGTCCTTTTTGACGACTCGGAAACATATCGTTTTGGTACATTATTAGGAGCAGGGGGCATCACACGGTCAAGAAGGCCGATCTGTCTTTGTTTTGCAGAGTCGCGAATATATGCCCCTGAAAGCGGAAGCTTCCTGATGATGTTTCTTCGTCCGTCTGCCAGACGCTTCGGCCGAGTCCGACGTCCTGTCTTCGGAAGTTCCTGATGTCAACACCCCACAACTCAGGAAGCCATCCGTACGAACTCTCAGGTTGTCAGCTCCAAATCCTCAAGCCGCGATTGCAAGGCCCGGACTACAAGACCCTCGATTTGTTTTCAATAACAGGTTTCATATCTTCAGACCTTCCCCTCTGCAGAACGTCGAGCAGCGGCTTCCGAGCGAGCTGTCCGGCGGGATGAAGAAGCGCGTGGCGCTGGCACGTGCCATCATCTCGGACGCCCAGGAGGAGCGCTCATCGGACGACCGGGAGGTGGTCATGTACGACGAACCGACGGCCGGATTGGACCCGATCGCATCGACGGTCGTGGAAGATTTGATCCGGTCGCTGCACGTGAAGAGCATCAATCCGGCGACGAAAGAGCCCGGAACGATCGCGAGCTACATCGTGGTGACTCACCAGCACAGCACGATCCGGCGCGCGGTTGACAGGTGGGTCACGGAAACCGACGCGGGTTAGAGTCGAACGGTTGACAGGAGGGTCACACGGAAACTGACGCGGGTTAGGGTCGAACGGTTGACAGGTGGGTCACGAAAAATGACGCGGGTTAGAGTCGAAGCCTGAAAGACGATTGCGTGTCAACGATTTTGCGAGCTAGAGGTTTAATTATCAGAGAACGATTGCGAGAAACGCGACGATGGAGGGAAGCGGAAAGGGACGAGGGTTGAAACAGGTGTGGAAAAGTAAGGATGGGCAGAGACTTTGTGGAAGAAGGAAGCTGATTGTTGTTGTTGCTTTGCCAGGCAGTGCTACCGACTTCATTCTTAACGAGGTAACTGTTACGACCATTGTTGTACGTGGCAAAAACATGCAGGAAACGAAACAACTGAAAGCTCTGTCTGTGAGGCTCACTCCAAGTTGAGTGGCAAAAGCAGGGTTCTACAAGGCTTTTGAACGGACCTTTGAAGGCTCCTAGGCAGCTAAAGGAAAATCGTTGTGAGTTGTCCTCCTCGTCGCCACGTTTTTTCAAGAGTTCGACTGCAAACACAAAAGTCCGCGCTGCAAGTTAGAAGAACTTTCTCAGAGCTTACGGGGCTCTGTACCTTTTGATTAAGTTCTTTTTTGCGGGGAGTGGGGTTCGAGCAAAAGCGGGGTTCGAGCAACAGGTCTTACTCCAAGCGCGCATGTGCCTTGGGTTCAATCCCGTTTTGTGGTCCGTAAACTATGATTACCTGACAACCCGAAATCACTTTGCTTGGTCTGTCTGCCAGGCTGCTTTTCCTCCACGAAGGCAGGGTCGTTTGGGAGGGGACCACTTCGGAGTTCGACACCTCGCAAGAGCCAATCGTCAGACAGGTAAGCGCCGCAGGCACCGCCAAAACGAGCTGTATGCGTCTTTTCCGGTCCTGGAACATACCACTATTTTGTCCTTGGCTTCACATTTCAGAGCATTCTTTCCCGTGATAGAAAGTGGTTTGCGTCCATCGCAAGTTCTGTGTTTATTTGCTGGCCATTTCAGTAGTCGCCGTCGCTCCCTCATACTGACCGCCTGAAACTTGTCGTCGGAACTTGCTAGCCAATCGAAATACGTGATTTGACAGCCGCTTCTAATGATCTGCATAAGGGTTCTAGTTTTCTACTTTTACATCCGAGTAATTTGCCGCCAGGATGTTACTTCAGCACGCTTCGATTGTTATTGGACATCGTGATTTTGGGGTGTCAGAACTGACGTGTACGCTGGTTCTCTGCAGTTTGCGGAAGGCAACCTGAAAGGACCCATTAAATACTAGACAACATGGACTTTGAGTCCAGAGGTAGCATTTGGTGCTCGCGCTTATCTAACATGAAATAAGCCTTGAAATGCTGGAGTGTCTACAATTACTCTTGTTGGCAGAATTGGTTCAGGGGCAGTCGGATGATTCCGGCAGCGTGGATGATTCAAAATGGAACTCGAGGTTAAGCAGTGGGATCGATTTGTGTTTGCGATTGAAGCGTCGGTGATTCCGATTGACCCATTCTCGTCTTCTGGGGCCGGGGGCCGTTTGAAATAAGCACCGCCGGCCCAGGCCAATCGCTTGCGAGTGACGCAGTACGCGTCTACTTTACGTGACCGTAGCTAGAGACTGAACCGTGCATGCATTGAAATGATTGGCACGTACATGTACGTTTCCCGCGCGCCTCCGCGCCTCCTGCATAGAAATGTTGCATCCTTGGCTGTTGCACTAGGACATCTACTTAGAATTGCCACTACCCTGCCCAGTACGTCTGGTCTGGCCTCGAATGCATTCACTGCGCCTAGCGCTCTCATGCAATTGGGCCATGAATCCAAGGTTGGGCGGAGTGGATGAATGAATCGGAGTGATAGATAATAAGTGGTACTCCCAACGTCTTTCAATGCAGTCCTCTTTAGCCGGACGGTCCGACGCGAGTCAGCCCGTGGTCAAGTTGTTACAGCATCTGAACTAGATATCTCGACTTCGTTGTCCCGCTCTAGATATGGCCTCAGCACATCCTCGATCATTGGACTCGTTGCCTCCGAAAAGCACGCCTTCAAGACTAACTGAAGTATTCTGCTGTCTTCTTCTGAGATATAGTCTCGGCCTATACAGCACTTGCATAAGGTCTGCACTGCCACGTCCATTCGTGCGACTAGCGGAGGGTCTGGGAATGGCTTTTTCAATTTTTCAACCTGCAACAAGTGTACTTTCAAATGTTAGAAACAGGCAAAGCAACTCACGCAGAGCGATGTATAAGAGGCTCTCGAATATCCCATGGAGCGGCCCGTCTGTCCTTGTGCTGTTCCCAAGAACAGAACAACAAAACCGTTCTCCGATCTCAGAAGGAACAGGAACAATCATAAACGGCTTCGAACTTAAGAAAAAATACGCTGGGCTCAAGTCTTAGAAGTCCTTGTCATTGTCCACAAGTTTCTGCTCTCAGGTTGAAACCGCAAAAGCACGACTCTTGCGTGGATCAAGAACTTGATCTCACCTTGGCTACCGCCTCTTGCATAAGCCGCTCCTGATTCTCCACTTCGAACTGCAGATCCAAAGAGTAGCGCAGCCGCTTGGCGGCAACGAGGACGTCGTCCCTCCGGAGAAGGCCCGCACCAGAGGAGGCAATCCAGCAGCAGAAGAGGACGTGACCGAAACGGGCGGGCTGGAAGACATGCGACAGTAAGACACGTCAGGCGGAATAGAAACTTTCCAAATGGACAGGTGCCACAATAGAGAAGGTATTTGAAAGGGAGCTGAGCCTGGGGGGTTCGAAGAACAGATCATCACTGTTTAAATCTTTGGATTCAGGAGCAATCTTGTGAGCATCCTGCCAATGGTGCTGGACTTGTTGTCTTCACGGTGTAAGTAGACGCGGTTTAGAGAAGCAATGGAAACAGGTAACGCAAGAAACAACGGGTTCTTTACAAAGAAGGACGGGAAACATTGTTAGATGCAAATCGACAAGGGAGCTGCTTCAGAGGCAATTCCAGCGCCTCTCACTCCCTTAGAGCCCCGTCAGGAGAATGTTCCGTTGTTCTTTCTCTGTATGACATTTCGCTCACTGATCAAGTGCGCACTAAGTTACATGATCAGCAGGGTGGCTGATGTCGTCCCGCAATTTCTTCGATGAGATTCCACCAAGGTTACAATTGCAGTTTCTGATGTGGGGCATTATGGTCTCCGTCAGAGCTGCCTAACAGTCAGAGCAGTATCAACTTTCAGTGCTCCTGTTAGAAAAAACGTTCACAAAGGAGAGCAGCCGGCGCCGTAATACCAACGCTGTGTAGCATTTCGGGACCGCTTGTCAAGACGGCAGCTTACCTTCCCATGGATTGCCTCAAGATCCGCAAACGCCTCGTCCGTCGCCCGTGTTGCCTTGTCTGCAACTTGCCTGCCAAACTGCGAGTAGTGCACAAAGGAATTGCCTGCGTCCACAGCCAGGTTTGACACAAGCCCAAGAATGGGCGTGCTGTTCAGCACCTTTTTGAAGAACCTACCAAACGAGTTGCCGCTTCCGGCGGCTGACGCTCGTGTGGCATTGCCCTTCCGCTGCGACTTCTGCACATCTGTAATTAGTGACCAGGTTTTCTGGTCCAATTTGCGAGAGCTACCGAAGAAAGTGCTGGCAAGAGGAATTGGCTGAGCTGGTCGGGCGGAGTTGTGGAAATTCTGGGTGGTTGAGAACAAGCCAGAAGAACAGACCTCTGCAGCGTGTGACAAGGCCATTCTGAGTTGCAGCTTCAGCGGCAGCTATGCAGCATTGCGTTGCGAATAATATGGCGCCCAAAACTGAAGAGCCTTCAGCGGCCAGCCCAACAATGGCCACCAAACCGAAAACTTTGCGAACCCAGGCCCTCCGCCACTGCCACTGCCAGTGGTGGTGAGCCAGAACATTGACCAGCATCCAAGTGAACCCAACCGGCATGGATTCGTCAGCTGCCGCGCCGTCCCGGTTTTCTGGAAGCACTTGCAAACGTGTGCCTCGCATTTCCAATGTTAATATTTGAGCGCTCTGCCGGTCATTTGACCGGCCATAGAGCGTCAACCCCAGCAAGCTCAAACGGTTTGATAAACCCATTCCTTGCCTAGTCAAGACTTCGAATTTTTGCCGAGGATTTCGATGCAAAGCTAGGCAGCAGAGCTCAGCAGCAGTTGGCTCAAGCAGGGCGCCACCATGTCCGCCCTGTTTGACTTCCAGTCCTTCCTGACCGTGGTCCTGCTCTTCATCTGCACCTGCACCTACATCAAGATCAGCTTCCCGAAGTTGCTCAAACAGAAGACAGGTTTTGTGGGGTTCTTTTGGAAGGCAGCTCGGATAGGAGAGCGGCTGAGCCCCTGGGTGGGAGCGGGCTGCCTTATCATGGGGACCTGCCTGCTGCTTTGGTGACACCCGCTTCTGAGGCTGCACTAGTAACGTTTAGAGTCTTTGAGAAGAAAACATTGAGCGCAGGACTTTTCTGGAACAGAGTAGTAAAGAGAAGCTTGGGCATCAATATGGCAGCTTTTGAAAACAGCGGCACTTCCTGAGCTGCTCAATGTCATGCTCACAGTGCTGGTCGCCAGCAGCTCACCTCCCCTCTGACCTGCAAGAGGTCTACCTGAAGAAGAGAGTGCGAACAAGCATAATTAGCATAGCTCCAAATGTATATACTCCTCAATTGAGCAGATTCAGGAGAATAGAGATCCTGATAAATAGGACCTGGTTAGCAAGACCACCACCTCATCTGAAAACTACCACCTTTTGTGCCCTTCACGGGACCAAGGGATCTGCTCCTGAAGGACCTGATGATTCAAAAAGCGGGTCAGAACAAGCCACTCCACCGCAGCCTGAGGTAAATATCAAAGCACGGTGGCAGAGGCTTGGCCCTTATCCCCCAACAGGCTACCATGTGGACAAAGACCCAGTGCCATTAGGAAACAAAGAGGACGGTTGGTGTGGCTTGTGCGGGGTACGATCAGGATGGATGCAGTGCGGGCGGTGTGCGGGTGAGGGAGAGTACCTCACGCTGCCTGGCAGGGCAGGGGTCAAAGATAGAGTGGGGAGGGCCCGGTGTAAGATGTGCTTCGGGAGGGGGGCTGTGCCGTGTTTCTTATGCGGGCTGCCGGACATGGAGAGATGGAACAAGTGGCACGCATATGCTAAGAGGAATCCTGTAAAGAAATCGAAATGAAGAATTGACGTCTGACTGCTGACTTAGTCCCGAACAGCTAGCTATGGATTCATTGCACTGCGGATTATCCATTCACGAGAGAACTGCTTTTTACGGCCACACAAGCGTGCAGTGTTACATGATGCATGAACACACTAGCATGGCCTGTCATCAACGAGTTTCGGCCTTTTGCAATGGCCAACAAGCTGTCGGGTCCGACCACTACGACCAGATGTTATGAATGCGTGTTGGGATGATGCTCTGAAAACTCTGTTGTAGCTGTCCTGAAGATCGAGCAACTCTTCTTTAACGGTATCATCTGCCAGCGCCGCATCTGGATCGCGCAGCAATTTTCGTTGTCATTGTCGAAAACAATCATGGCCTCCAGCCTGAGGATTGCGGATTGACATGACACCGACATACATGCGTGATCAGCTTGCAAGTGAACACTGCAAAAACTTTCTTAGGAAGCTCAATCATGAGCTGCAGCACGGTATACGAGGATTTGATGTAGGCTCAGGCTGCATGGATAAGCGCAAGCTGCGCTAGTTCCATGGCTTGGGGCAGACCATGGGTGCCATTGGCATCATTAAAATCAACGAATTGAATCGAATGTGATCACATCCCTTGAAGATGGCCTACTGCGATCTGGACAGCGAGCAGGCTAGGTGACGTTCAATCTTCTGGAGCCAAGGCTCTTTTGCAAACCACATGGGCCGGGCGGGCCGAAACAAGTAACCTCTTGCTTCCAATCTATCCGTTTTGAAATCAGCAGAAAGCGCAGGAAATGAATATGCTGGCGGCCTGGGGATCAGGCAAAAAAAAAGATCAAGGTACTTGCTCGTCTGTACATGGGCTATTCTAAAGCCATTTGCTCGTGCCTACAAGTCTACGAACGAAGGTGGCACACCTGAAGCGGCATCTTCAAGGTTACGCTTCACCTCGACCGTTGCATCAGACGCGGGGCACGCCTACCCGCGGAAACTGTTGAACTCGCTTCCTGATGGAGATAAATTCCGGAATCTACTGACCCGCTGTTCTACAACAACTAGAATGTGCTTGCAGCTGGAAAAATACTATCGAGGAAAGCGGAAGCGGTCATCCGAATCGTGAGGAGGGACGCGTTCCAACCAGCCGGCCCGCTTGCCAGTCCCTTTACAATCATCGCACTTTATTGATCCCTGCAAACCGTGGCATGAAATAGTAAGGGCGAGAAACCTCACACAATGAACAGAAGGGAAATCTGTGCAGGTTATTCATGCTAGAGTACGAATGCGGAAGAATCCGAATCGATGTGAAACACAATCGAAGTGAAAATGATGTGAACATTTGTCAATGCAATCCGCACCCCAAAGAGGACTGGTCTATTGATGGAGGCTCATGCGAGACGGAATCCTGCGGGGACGTTGACTGACCCAATTCAGACTCGATTAGTCAGAATCACCAGACTCAAAGTGCGAGAAGCAGACTGAATGGCCAAGTACTACGGCTTGAATCCTCAGCAACTGTAAAGAGCCGTGAAAAGGATGATGCAAATCATCCTCATTTCAAACAACATTCTAGTGATCTTATACATTTCGACTGGCCGCTTGATGGATAGTAGCTGATATACAAGCAAGCAGACCCTCTCCTCCCCTCCTCAGAATGAGCTTGGTTTCGAGAAGTGGTTGGCCAACTCCTGGTGCAAAGTTTTCCCAAAGGAGAGCTGGAGCTCGAAATGGATGAAAACTGCCCGACCAAAGCAGTGAGGGAAGAATGTTGCGGTGTTCTTCAGATGAGTCTGGGCACGTTAAAACATTCAAGAAGACGACACCACTATGGCCCTTCCAGAAGCGACAATAACTGTAAGGCCCTTAGAAAGGCAACATACCAATGACTAATGGGCGATAAGCTGCACTGACCTTGTATCAACAACAAAGAAACCCCCGGTCAAAAAAGATATAAAGCCTAAGGGGCAAAGACAGGTTTGACAGTGGCCCACCTTTCCTTGACATACTCTACATGAGCGATCATGATCGTTGACATCGCAGACCATGGTATCTCCCAGAACGAGAAACCCCGTTCCGTTGCACCACGGACACTCCACCTCCCCCTCTGCTGAGCATGTAGAGCACGGGACAGGCTTTGGCCGCTGCGAAGGAAGGAAAAGGATGCGATCTTCGTTTAAGCCATCCGAGCAGCTCGCCTGAATTGACCAACCTCAGGAATGTCGATTTGGAACATTGATGGCATTACGATGACAGACAGTAGGTTAAACCAGCGATCACGAGCTAGATAGCTCAAGTTCCTTGGCTCCCCAAAGCAACGTTCAGATAAGTGTGAGTGTCCTCAGCCGAGGGCAACAGGATTGAAACTTGTTTCTCATGCAAAAATTGACCTCAACGAACCTCTCAGCTCCAAGACTTTTAGGGCTTGCTCAATTATCCAAACCTTTTTTTTTTGAATCTCTCGGCTCCAGGATCTTCAGGGCTTTGTGCTCCCGGAATCAACCATAGGCGGAGCTCAATTCATAAGCTAGTACTGCATGTCCAGGCTGAATGATGCACCAAACAAAGCCAGCACCACGCGGAGGGGAAGAGGGCAAAAAATTTCTTAGGGTTTTCTGGACAATTCACCTTGGAGATGTGCCACGCCCGCTCTAGTTCCACCATAAACTTCTGCGGATCTTTCCCTGCTTCTTCGTCCCTGATTGGAGGGAGCGCGTGCACAATGATACTTAGCCGCTGTCTAGAGTCCCTTCGTCTAGGCCATGCTCTCCTAAAGGATAAGCACCTACTATGATCAACAAACTTACAACCACAAACCTGCGGTTGATTTGATTCTGGAATGGAGCAGACTTTGTGCAACCTGGTTGGGGTGTCCCGTAGAAGGGGAATTGTGAAATGCGTGCGGTGGCGGACAGTGCTTTCTAATCCTGATTGGAAATGAGGAAATCTGCCTCTGAAGCACGGCGGAAAGCTGGGGAAACTGCAGCAACCTGCTGTATGGGTAAAAGGGTCCTTCTTCAGGCCGTCTCCTGAAAGGATAGGCAAGGAGGGGGGCAAGCAAACCCTCTGTGCTCGGCAAATGGCCGCCATTGTAGAACTTCACGAGAAGGTGGTCACTGGTTGGATCGAAACTTGAAAGCCTGCCTGAAAGGCTGCGCCAGCTCACCGTGCAAGATGTGGAACCCCCCTTTAAACCCTGTCGGAGACCGACGCACAACCCGGCCGCGACGCCGTGCGCTTCTACAGTGATGTTCGTGACGACGTGCTGACGTGTAAACCTTCCGAAAGCAGGCTCTAGCATATTGCTTCAACTTCTTCAAGTTCAACTTCCCAATTGGCTATCCTCAGCAGACGCGCAATTGTGGATCTTGCTGCAATGCTGGTCATCTTCAAGATGATCTTGTAACTTGTAAGTATACAGGCCGCAATTTGATCGGGTGCGAATCCGGCTCTGGAGGTGCTCTGATCGCCACCACTTCCTACTTCCTCACCACCATCAGCAGCACTTCTGCTTCCAAGTTGCCCTGCAAGATATAACCGACAGGTGAGGCTTCGTTGAAGAAGCAGGCTTTCCTGCTGTGCTTTTTGGGCCGTGAACAGCCTCGCTGCTTCTCAATACATGGCCGCACCACTATCAACAGGCAGCAAGGATTGAGATCCTGAATGCTCCAGAAGTCACAATGGGTCAGGTCTTACAAGTCTTTAAAGCATTGTCATCTTCAAGCAAATGGCAGGAGCACTGTTGCTAGGTACGCTTGAGTAACCGCACATTGGATTCTGCAGTGCAATCTAAGTCGTGACACTGCAAGATAGAATCAATAATCTGATTGAGGATGGGTGCATGCAGCACTTCTGAAACGCAAAAGCTCAAGCTGTTGAACCTAAAATGCCCATCAGTTGTCTCAAAGTTGGAGGTCTATGGGCCCTGCATTCTAGAATTCCCTGTTTCGTTGTCTTTCAAACGAGTCTTGCAAGGAGCAGTGTCTCTGCTTGCACTGTCAGAGGATAGTACTCCACAGCCGCAAAATGGCACCCTTTCAAGTAGAAGGCAGAGAGTCCATAAATATGATGTTGAGTATCCACAACACCACTTATAACATGAGACCAACTTCTTTGTCGCCTACAGTCTTCTTCTCTCTCCCAAAAGTTGTACGGTGTCGTCTTCTGCATAGGCAGCGTCCTCTACAGTTCCACAATTTTGTTCGTAACCAGTTGGTCACAAATGAATGCCCTTTTCTTGCTCTAGACAGAAACTTTGATACAATTTGTGTTCATTGCCCAAAGTAAAGCCCTGAGAACCATCAGCTTTTCATAGCTGCCCCGATCATGTCCAGCTCTTCTACACGTCCTGTTCTCTTTTTGACAGCACCCCTCTTCTCGTTACATCCTTTTATCGTCCTTGGTGAGTATTGCATCTCTTCAACAGGATCAAACCATCTATTCTTTTCCAGCTTTGTGGACAGACCGCCAAGTTTCACCATGTCGTTCCCTACGGTTGACAAGATCAAGCTCGGGTCCCAGGGCCTGGAGGTCTCCCGGCAGGGTCTCGGCTGCATGGGTAAGGAGCTCTTTTTAAAACGCTTTCCATCATGCCAGTATTGAATACTGGACAAAATTGACAGGCAAACGTTTCTAACTTTATTTTTCTTCACTCCAACGTCTTGCTTGGCAAATGATTATCGTTTTGAACTCCACCATAAGCAGAGGCAGGCTCAGCTTTTGGGATTAAGGTAGGAGCAGAACTGCAGTGGCACTGACGTATGTTGCGGATTCTGACGTCAAGTAACCATGCTAGTCAGAGGTCATCAGGTTAAGGAGGGAACTAGAATGAAGGGGGGGGCATCGAACGAGTCCACTCCTGCAGAGTTTCAGATCCTGGAGACCCAACCTTAAGCTGTCCCGTTGAATTAAGAGCAAACATTCTGGCAGAGAGGCTCCCATTGCAAAATCTCAGGGAATCCTGTATGTGGGAAGAGAACTCAAGGGGTCCAGATGCGAGTCCAAAACCTGTTGCGCAATGAGTCGCTTTGTTTCTCCGTGTCTCCTGCGTTTTAAGGCTTTGGAGAAACCAACCTGATACGCTAAGTCTAACGAGCAAGTTCGCTTCAATTAGGACATTGTGTGTACCGCGCTTCGCGTCTACTGAAAACGAAGTTCAACCCTCCAGGAATGAGCGCATTCTATGGTCCGCCCAAGGAAGAGGCAGAGGCAATCAAGGTCATTCACCGGGCGATCGAGCTGGGGGTTACGTTTCTGGACACATCGGACATCTATGGTCCGCACACAAACGAGCAGCTTCTTGGAAAGGCGCTTGCGGGGATTCGAGACAAGGTGAGCTTCATTTGATCTGTACGTTGCTTTGGCCGTACTTTCTCATCGTCTTTGACTGCTGATGGTGGACGTCAATCAGTATACATGGTGGGCAGTCCTTTTACCCTGAGGTAACATACACGACTTTCGGGTGGTTGGAAAGGGGTTGTTTAGAGGCCAGGGGTTACGAACCATAGTCGACATGGTTGCAAGAAACATGTGGTCCCATTCTAAGACGGCTACTGTCAACAATACGGTTCTCCGGGTCGGCACAGGGCTTGGCTGAAACTGGGGGAGAAACAGAACCGTGCATAATACCTATAACAAACGCTGACGGCCACATTACCAGATCCTGCAACGAGATTCTTGTATCATTTTTTCAACAGGCTTCATTCGCCTAAACCTCTATTGTTTCCTGCCAGGTGCACCTTGCGACGAAGTTTGGGATCGATGCGTCCGGCGGGGCGCGCTCGATCAACGGGAGCCCTGAGTACGTCAGGAAGGCAATCAAGGGGTCGCTGGAGCGGTTGCAACTGCAGTACGTCGACCTGTACTACCAGCACAGGATTGATCCGGAAACACCAATTGAGGACACGGTGAGGTTCAAGCGAGCTCAGTCTTGAGTACTAAGCATCGAAGTCTAACATGTTTTGATGATACCAAGGGTTACAAAAGAAGCAGTTTTTAGCGAAAGCGTGGGTCTTGACGAAGTTGACTTGGATTGCAGAATCCTTAGGAGTCGGTCGTCATGCAAAGTCGGTAACGTGTTGAGCTGTGCAACGCTAAATCGCTGTAGACCGTGTCCTCAAAGTTTTACCACAAGGATCAGATCAAGGTCCAAGGATTGTACCGTTGACTCGTCATTAAGAATCCAAGCACTGCTTATGGCAAAGTTTGTGTGGCTTCTGATCTTACCTTAATAAAACGAGAGCCAACCTAATCAGTGAATGGATTACAGAACCTTCTCATTAGCGCCAATGATCGATAGCTCACCCGGCGACTGCCAGAGTTGCTCGATTTTCCCACTCGAGCAAATTGCGGAAGCCGTACCTAATAATGCTCCTGAAGTGGTCAAGGGTCTGTCGTCCCACAATCCTCGAGTCTTTTGCCGAACGTAGAGAAAAGGGACTGTGCGCTCAGTGACCAGAGACATCGGGGCAGCTTGTTTGATTACACTTTTCGCATAGACTTCCAGTCGCATGCAAAAATCTCCTTTTGGCCGATGACACGTGGAAGCTTTCGGTGTTCAAAGGTAAGGTCCGGTACAACGGACTGTCCAAACTGACCGCGGATGAAATCGATGCATTTCGACCTGGGACGGAATTGATGCGCCTTTTTGCAAAACATTCTGCACCTGCTTTGTTAAATCGCGCAAAACCCTCTCTTCTCAGATAAACGCGTTGAAGGAGTTGGTGTCCGAAGGCAAGGTCAAGTACATCGGACTGTCCGAGGCGACTGCGGACGAGATCCGGCGCGCACACGCGGTGCACCCCATCACGGCGGTGCAACTAGAGTGGAGCCTCTGGACGCGGGACGCCGAGGACGAGATTATTCCTACCTGCCGGTGAGAAAAGGCGCGGACCCGTTGTTTCTCTCGGTAGTGCTTTCCTCCTTTAGCTTTTAACATTATTGACAGCGGCAACCTTCCGCTTGGTGGAGACTTGAGAGGTTTGCATTGGGTAGTGAAGGAGGTTGTCTGGGTTTGTTTGATTTCTTCATGTCGTTAAGTTATTTCGACGGGGTACCTTCCTGTGCATGCACAGTCTTTCCCTTTTGGAGAAGATAGTGCTTGCTCTGAGCAACCGTGTCTGTTCGTTGTGGTGTGGTGGCTGCGCGTCTACCAGTTGCCGGCTGCGAGCCAGCGAACTCATACGGTTTTTCGCAAGGCAAAATATGCTGAGTTTCTAAGGATCTCAAAGGCCTCCGTGGAGGAGTTACATCCTAAATGTCCACGTCCTCTCTCCGCACTTCTGAGTCGCCCCTTCGCTTGCCATCTTGTTCTTGGGTCAACTTCTCTGCTGTAGCACATTTGAAATTTATGGTTTTACTCACACCTGAATACAAGGTTTGGACACAGTGACTTTCTTTGTCGAAGCGGCCTACTTAAGTACGTCCCCCTCATTTCCAGTCAATGAGATGCTTGTGTTTTGGACTTTTCAGAGACATTGTGGCTGTGATTTGTGTGCACCATGAGGAGTCAAGCCTCAGACATGTAGTTTCGGAGCTGAAGCCTCTATCAAAGAAACGTCGACTGTCTCTTCTGGTGGTACAAGTCGACGTCTGCTTGACTTATTCCTGGTCATCTAGATGAAGAGACGTCATTGCACCTTTCCTCAAAGCTCGATGCGTGGCAGGGGATGAAACTGTGCTTATCAAGAGACTGGCGATTGGTATCAGATGTTTGAATTGGCCACTGTATTTTTGGCCACGTGTTGAATATTAATAGCCTGCCGAATATAAACCTTCTCTGCTTTTAATTTGGCGAAACTCAGTTGGAGGCCCTTGTTGGTCTTCGGAACACCCTGTGGCTGTGACTTTGGGTTGCCGTCACTTGAATGTTTCCTGACCCATCAAGACGTATTAGGGTCTGGTGCTAGTTGGCAACTTGGTGCAAAGTGTGTTATATGAGCCGGTTGCTGTGTTGTCTTCAAATTGGCCTGACTACATCAGGTTCCGGGGTTCACGGTGAAAAGAAGCTGCTCGGCTTGACTTGTTTATTCCTGACGCTGTGCCGCCGGTCTTGGCCGTCGACAGTAAGTAGCTCACCATGTTGCCGCTGCTCTTTGAAACTCAGATCATGCTTGCACTCCGTCGGCACGTATCAAGGGCTGAGTCAAATCGGTTTCAGTGGCCGCGCGCCTAGTCTTGCCTGCCACGGATCTTTGAGAACGAGCGCGATCACACATTTTCAGCGAGGCAAGACACGCGATTTTAAAATGGTCTTGAAACTTCTCCCGAGAGTAGACTCTTGAATGCAGGAAGCAAGTACAACCGCATGCAACCTTAGTTGCCCCTCTGCTTGCAACCCCGTCTTAAACTGAACCTTGCACTTTCGAGCTTCGCTTTGGTGTCTTTCTCATATCGCCCATTCTCATATGGACGGTAAACTCCAGTCGCTTGAGATAATGTATGGGCTGAAAAGGTCTGTGTCAACCAATTGTAGCATCCATTGTACCACGAATTATTCCGCCTGCTTAGTGTCACTTTGATGCGTGTGATTTAAAGCATCATTGTACGAACGTGGCTATGATCTATGTGCACGATGAGGAGGCAGTCCTCAATCTGTGGCGTCGCGAAGTGAAGCCTCGATTCGGGGGGACGTTTAGCGTCTTGGTGTGGCAAATCTTTGTCCGCTTGATGATACTTCTGACCATGTTGGTGAAGGGACGTCTTGATAACGAGACGGGCTACCTACGTCTCGTCTACAGTTCGCCGTACTGCCCTGCAATTATAAGTGCTGATTAACTTGTCTCGTGGCTCAAATTGGACTTTTGATCCAGCCCCTTTCTCGTATTCGGCCGCGCTTTGTCATTTCGCCAAATGTGACTAACTCGCACTGAGTCGGCATGTTTATTCGCAGTTCTTGTCTGCATTGGAAATATCTGGTCGTCGTGATAACTTCAAGCATTGAGCTAGGATTCTCATGGTCCAACGTGCCTCGTTGAAGCTTTGAGAGATAAAGGATTTGTTAGCGTTGTGGAGCGGTTTAACTACCGAACGTTCAGATGACCGCCTACCGGGCGCCTAATAGTCTTGGAAGCGGCTTTCGGGGCCTTTGACGCCTCTCAAGAGAAATGATTTGCTCGATTCTGATGGCTTTGATGACGCACATCTTGGGGAATGTATCCTCAGACGCGGGTTTTGTGTCGTGAAGCCACCGGAAAGGTTGAGAGGGATATTTCGCTCAAGCGGATAGGGGTAGATGTTCAACCCGATGTCCTTTCTGGATAGTGGCGCCGCGGCTACAACTCCGTTACGGTCATAAGAACAGACGAAGTCACAGGGTTTTCCAAAGAGGCAAGACATGCGAGACTTGAAAGAAGCTCAAAAAGCTCTCTCGATCACATTTCAAATCCAAATTTGTTCCCTTACGATTTTCTGGTTGCTACTCCAGCTTGCGATCCCGTTCGTGACTCTAAAGTTCGCTTCGTTGTGGTGTCTTTGTCTTAGCATACTTCGGCTCCATACGCACGGTTTAGACGTCAGCAACTGTCGCAGCGTAGCTTTGGCTTGCTAAGCCTACTCTTTCCTGCTTCCGTGCTTCCGCACAGAATCACTTGGACTAGTGTTTGTGGTACCTAAAACCTCCAATTGTGGCTGGAATACGAGTGGGGCCACGAGGATTCAGTCCGCATATTCTGTCCGCAAGTCCGTCGAACTTGTCATTGTACCCTCGGATTGGAGGAAGGTTGTTGTCCTTTTTTGAAACGTTCTGGTTCTCGATGAAGAGACTTGCTTTTTACTTTTCTCTTCTTACTTTCCTCTGAAAGCACGCAGCACGATTTGTAATCTTAGGGGGGCCGATCGCAGGACCTTTTGCTGAAATAAAATGTTCCACCCTGCCACTCCTCCTTGTTGGCCATGCTTGGCGGTACTGAGACGCCCGATGAATCCAACTACGCACTTGGTTGTCCGCAAATTTCTCTAGCTGTTGTCGGTAAGATGCCGTGGCGATGATGAATGCAGGGACTGAGATGAGCTTCTCAAACCAGATGCTGTTTGACGCCGTGAACTTCAAAAAGGATCGGTCTTATGTGGTTCAGCTGCTGAACGTTTTTAGGAAAGTCTGACCGGGCTCACAGATTCCATCTTATAAGCCTACTATCTGCCTCTTCTTTGTGACCCGATCGGGCGCATCATAAGGAGCGTATCTCGAGGAATCCAACACGCTTCTGAAGCCACCGGAGAGACAAAAGACTGCTTCTTGCGCAGAACCATTTCTAAAGGGCAGTTTCAGCTCATAAACGCTGGCAGTCTGACCAGGGTCCCCAATTGCTGTTGACGTGTTCATTCTCCCGGGCCTATCAAGGCGTCATATCTTAAGACTTGATGCTTTTGTAAACGTGATGCAGATTAATGTTCATTCGGTATATGCCGGTTGCTTTTATTGGTTCAAGTTTGGTCTTCAAGGTTTGGGTTGCTACTTTAGGATTGGCCTAACCGCCTCTGCATGGCTACGAATTCCAGAAGCGACGTCTGGTCCCAACAGACTGGCTGGGGATTGCTCTTCCAGGGTCTTCTGCTTGACACGTCTTACTTTCCATTCTGAGGTGACATACTTGACAGTTTCCTACGACGCATATGTGTATGAAGGTTTCCTTTGAGTCTGCTGCCGCTTCTCTAGCGAAGGACAGTCGACGTCGACCAGCAAAGCGATGGCGTCTTGCTGCCGGCAAGACGCCGAATTGGCAGCAAGACGCCGATTGTGAGTCTCAACTACAATACGCACTAGAATTTGTGCTGCCGGCTTCTTGTTGCTTCGAAATGCTGTCCCTCTGTTCTGATAGAACCTCAGGATGGAAAGTGGACACCCCATGGACTCCCTTGTACCCCTTGGCTGTAGGTGCGAAATCGACGCTTCAGAGTTGATGTGACAAGTCAGCAACCCACCCGTTGATCCGTGAGGCTGTCAACGCCAAAGGGGTTTCTTGCGGCGAAAATCCCATTCTTTATCTCCATGGGTTCTGACTGGAGCTTCACCCAAACTTTTCGTGTTAGTAACATGTATGGCGATGTTCTTTGCCCGTGAGGTCAAAGGTCCTCATAGGCGAAGTGGTTGATGGTATGAAAGAGAGTTTCCAAGTCTTTTTCAGCTTTCGTGATGATGTTTGGACCAGAGTAGGTGGAGTCGCGGTCTACCCAGGTTCCGATCCGAATGTGCTGCGCCTGTGAGATGTTTGCAGTGCGCTCTTACTTCTTCTCATTGTAAAGTACTATGATTACACCACTGCCAAGAGCAGCGTGCCTTAGAAACGCAGTTTACTAGCTTTTTTTTTATGTCCTCAAGAGTTGCCCAGTTCTGGTGGATATGGGTGGCGGATTTGACCAACCCTTGGAGTCAGACTCTGCCAGCTGAATGGGTCATCAGTTGCTGTGCGTAAGAGGTTCTCGAGTACCCGATTCTAGGGCCCAGACGGCCACCTTTAGCGAGCGATAGTCGAAGAAAATGACCGTGCTCAGTTGTGTTGTTGTTTCGTGCTTTTTTGTGAGAGTGAAGTGTCTTCTATTTAATGCGGGGATAAGAGTTGGCCCCACTCCCTGGTCCATGTTTCAACTTTGCGTCATACCTACGTGGCTGTGACGAACCGGAATCTGAGGTGCTTCTCCTCAAGCGTGCCTACTGACGGCCGAGACCGCCCTCAAGGAAACGCCGTCCGTTTGTCTTCACTATTATTTGCGAGGAAAAATCATGGGTTTCCGCCATTGAATCGGTCTGAATTTAGGCTGACGTCAGCGGTTCCGCAGTCATTGCTGGCCATCCCCTCGCCCTCCTGAGTCCGTCATGTCTTCTGGTCGTTGCTGTCGCCTCAAACGACTTGCCCGGTTGCAGTCCTTTGGCGTCGGGGCACTCTCGTAGTCTGCCGACGTCAGCTCTGCTCCACTCAAAGAACGTCTGTATGCAGGGACCCCGGTATTGTCAGCGTCTCAAAGCTTCTGCTTGCTGCGCCCTTTCAGTGTGCGGCGTCGTTCGAGTCGTGAGTGCTAAACGCTGCTGACGTCACTTTCATTATTTGCTGCCATTTTCTCAGACCCTGCAAGAGGAGCCGTCATCTGAACGTTTCATATGTCTTCTTTACTGGCATGGCCTTCATCTTTCGAGAATTGTCAGCATCCGCCACGGCTGCTGACACGTGTTGTTTTGATGTCGAGGGTTGGCAGCGGCCTCGTCCCGAGCACACCCCCTCAGCCGAGCCGCGGTTTCTTGGTAGGGCAAGGTTTCTTCCCATTGAGTGACGTCAACCTTCGTCAGTACTGCTGACACGTGTCCTTTTTCTGCAGAGAGCTTGGCATCGGCAGTGTCCCGTTCTCCCCCCTCGGCCGCGGCTTCTTCGCCTGCAAAACCTTTCTGGAGTCCGGCGATTGTCGCGCCGAGTTCACTGTCGCGCTGACGTCACTTCGTTTTTAGGCTGCTGACACGTGTCCTTTTCCCGCAGAGAGCTCGGCATTGGGATCGTCCCGTACTCCCCCCTCGGCCGCGGCTTTTTCGCCGGCAAAGCTTCCTTCGATGCCGGCGATTGGCGCGCCGGTAACCCGCGGCTGAGCGGTGAAAACCTGGAAGATAACCTCAAGTTGTACCAGAAGCTCAAGGAGATTGCGGACAAGAAGGGCGTCTCGCCGGGACAGCTGGCGCTCGCGTGGGTGCACAACCAGGGGGATGACGTGGCGCCCATCCCGGGAACCACGGTGAGGAGTTCCAAACGTTTCGTGCTTAGCTTGTATTATCGCAAAGGCGGTATGGCGGCGACCGACCCTGGCGGGATATTCTACAGTCTTCGCTTGCTCTTTTGATCGGAGACTGATGCTTGAGTAGCCGTAGGACTGCCTTCGGTCCAGGCTTAAGCGGTCGGCACGCGGGCAGTTTGGGAACCAGGCCAGCCATTTTGACTGTTCGTTTCTATCTTCGAAGCCCCTCCTCGAACGGCCAGTCCGAGAGGAGGTTTCGGGAGGGAACGGTTTGAGAGTTGACAGACCTCATGATCCAATCAAAGGCAAAGCGACAAGGAGGTTTTTTGGTCGTTGGGCGGACCCGATTTTTGAAAGGATCGAAGGCGCGGATCTTATTGTGGAAGATGTTGCAGCGGGGGGGTCCGTTAGAGAAGGGTCGGACCTTTTTGTTCCAGAGAACGACTCACGAGCTCCTGTGACTTTCACGACTCATGAGCTCTTGGACTTTCATATGCAGAGCATCCATCATCTGGAGGAGAACATCAAGGCGTTGTCCATCAAGCTGTCCGCAGAGGAGTTGAAGGAGTTGTCCGATGCTGTCCCCGCGCATGAGGTGAAAGGGACGCGTTATGATGAAGCGATGATGGGCAGTACCTTCCACGCCCGGAAGTAGGAATGAAACGGACTTATTTTTCGGTCTAGTTGTCAAGGGCGTATCATTAATTTTGATTTGTGACTTCAGTCGTTGGCGTGATTTGAGAAGATATGAGATAAAGTATTGGACGAGCAGAGCGCGTTGACTTCTTAGCGTCTTAGCTGTACAGCTTCAAAGACTGATAAGTTTTGTGGAAGTTGGCGGGCCGCTTCAGCCCTGTTGTCACCGGGTTTGGCGTAGAGCTTGTTAGCAACAGGTATGTAGACAGCGAAAATATGTTTGCCCCGTTCTTGCTTTGAACGTTTTTGAAGTTTTCCAGGGTCCTCGACTTTGAATATGCAGAATTGACCTTCAAGCCTGCTTGAGCTGATGGTGTTGCCAATGCAGGCCACGTTGTGATCGCGTTCTGATTATAAGATATTATGATGTTCGGTCCTGTACTGCCAATCCGTGATGGTGAACGATGTTGCGCCAATCAGTAAGCTGCGCCGGCCCGGCGGTCAATATCAAACTTGCACGATTGCAAGCATGTAGCCTTCAACCAAAAGACCTGAATACGCACTAGTAGCTCTACTCAAGGACGGACGACCGTACTTGGTCAAGAAAGTCGCTTGCATGACGGTGGGCCGGAGAAGCAGCTAGCTGCACAGTTCAATGATTACAAATGCTTTGATATGCGTCACGGTATATACACTATTACGATTCGATCAATCGAACGAATTTAATGAATGATTCCCGTCGGCCGGAACGTACCTATATAGGCGGCTTAAGACTGAAGGCCCCCGCTGCAACCGCCGGCGCCGCCGTGCAGCGCAGCCTTACTAGCTGAGTTCGGCTTGAACACGCCGCAGCAAACGTCTAATACGGTACGCTCTATTACGAGCAATTAACGTACAGGCTGTCTTATTGAAACTTGAAAGGGTTTGCATGCAATTACCCTTTCGTAGGGTGCATGCGCAACTTGAGGCGGCCACCTTGCAGCGCACGGATGCAGGCCGGCTTACATACCGCATCTGCTTCGACTTTCTATTTCTGTCCCTGATTTGCTCCAGCCGAACCATTCATTTTGCAGGGTCCATTCAATGCTTGATGCATTTCGTCCCATTCATGTTTGAGCTGCCAAGCCGACTGATCATTGATCGACTTCACTAAGCGCCGGGCATCTTAAGGCCGAGCCGTTGCGGAGCGGCGTTGCGCGGGCCGGGTGCCTGCCCGGCAGGTACCCACGAGCTATGAATGGCAGCACAGGCTGGCCCAGTGCGCCCATTGGTACATGAACTGAATTGAATGATGCAGCTGAAGACCTTCTCAAAGAGCGCTTCTACGTTCTCCTTAGGCTTTGGGAGTTGTTTTTGGGACTAAAAAAGCAGAATTTGTCAATTGTTTACGCGTACCTCCTGAACTCCTGCGCATAGGCCGACTAAGAGAACATGGACTTACCATATCGATGTTAGCATTCTGAGCCCAACCGTCAAACCGTTCTGAAGGTTTTACGGGCGCATCGTGCTGGGTGCGTCAAGTCACGGTGCTGCCAGTGAGCATAGAAACAACCTTAGCCGCTTTGTCACCTCGCAAAGCCTCTCTAACTTCTGCTTAACATGCAAGTTTACTACTAGAATGGCGTGTGATGACCCGATAGGTAAGTTCCTAACCCTATGATTGACTCGAGTGTTCCTCCAAAAGAGTGCTACGCAGCTCTTTGCATCGACTTCGATCGCATCCCTATAATGAGCGACGGGCCGAAACATGTTCCTGCCGTGTTGGGCAAACTTATTGAGACTCCAGCGCCTTGGTGAGAGACAAATCACAAAGGTTGAAGAGCACAGCCAATCTTAGAATACCTACGTTTGCAAAGCCAACAACTTTTGTTAACGGATCACTGAAAGAGGCTTGGCGTCGTCTCATGGAGAACTGTTTAAGCATACCCTAAACCTCAACTCCAGACGATTTCTCTGCCGGGCATGAAATTCGTTGCTGCTTTTTGGAGCCAGCAGATACCTCAGTGAAATAAGTACAATCTCCTATCCTTGACGTGCTCGACAGATGATCGTCTGACTGTGCAGGTCCGCCCTTGAGGTTGACATACCACTTAGAATACGGATTCTTTCACCGAAGCAGCTGCTTCCAGAACCGTATAATCGTCTTTCTTGGCGCCGAATAGACAAGCGAACCCCTTTACAGCAGCCTTCGTCAGATCTGTTAGTACTCTGTGTATTATTACCCACGCGGAGAAATACAGAAACACTTACCAGGGCTTGGATGCAAAACTCCCTCGTCATCGCTCGCGCAGACCAGAGTAACTGAGATGGCGAATCAACCTGCGTGGATTTGGTCAACATAAGAAGGTAAAATTAAGACAAATTCATTCCATGCTGGTTGTTCGCTCAGGAAACAAGGCTCAGCTGGCAGACAAGGCAAAGTTTACATATCACCAAGATCAAAGTCTCGCTCGCTTAGCGGGCATAAGAGCTGCACCACCTTTTCCCATCAGTGAAGGCATTGATTTTGCAGTCAGGTCTTACTTACCAAGACGTGTGAAGAAAGGCGAAGGCAATTCAGGATCCACAGATTGTGAACCAAGACGCCCTGACCTTCATCGGTCGCTGTCTGTGATGCTGCAAAGGGAAGGTGAGATTAGGGGTTTACATGCCACAGACCAGTTGCCAAGTTGTTATTTTTGAGTTGGATTAAATGGGAACAAGATTGGCATCTTCAAATACGATTGAAGTGCAGATGAACGAGCTATTTGTGTTTTAAAGCTTGAGAAAGAATAACGGCACAAAACGGGTTGCAGACCCAGTAATTCTGACCACCAAAAACTCATCAAAACATTGCAGACGCGAGCAGTGCGTGACGTTTCTTCTGCGGTATGATATAGTGCTTGCTTCTCTGTAGTCCCCCTCTTAATTTCCCATCGCAAATACATTTCCTGATATGGCCCTCACAACTTCGAAGTCTCTGAAGAATGACCTTTACTGCAATGTTAAAATAAGTACGCCATAGACTGCAATTGTCAATATAAGATTCTCAAACTTGCGGTAGTATCCATTATAAAGGCAGCTCACAAGAAACCTGCCGACCTCCTGATCCTTATTCTGGAACCAAAGGTTAAATAAGAAGCCTAAACCAAGCCAACGGCACAACCGAAGGCGATAGGACGACGAACCGTGTTTGCAGGTACCATACTTTCTGTAGGATCATGCAGCAGAATTACAAACTTACCAGCTGCATACCGGGCACCACTCTTCTGCCTCACTGCCAAACATGACCAAAACAGAATATACCCCCAGCATGCGAAGGGAAACAAGAGAATGACTCTTTGCCTCTTGACCCAAGCGAATGCACGCTGATCGTACTTCTTGAGAACTCCAAGGCGGTTAGGCCCCCTTAGAAACACAACATACTTCGGATCATAGTTTGGACCTGGTCGTGCCTCCTCTTTCTCCACATGGCACGTGGCCCCCGTCATGCTCCTCTCTCAGGATTTTTACAAGCTAACAGTAAGAATCTGCTCCCGACACGAACGACAGTGACGCACGGAAGCGGAAGGTCGCGGCCGCCCGCGCCCGCGCCCCAGTTAACGGTTGGAGAAACCCTCGTAAAACCCTCGGAGACGGTTGATGAACCGGGTGTGCCGTGCGCCCGGCCGCGTCCGCGCAGACGAAGACGCGCGGCCGGGAAGCAGACAGAGAACCTTAGCTGAGGTCCCTACAGTACTTCTGGGTTCACGTTCTCACTTAATAGGGCGGTGCCTTGCCAATGTCAGATCTTTCAAGTATAAAGCGCGCCGGCTTTAAGCGCTGAACGCCATAGGTTGATTACAAATCCAGCTTTGGAAGAGATAGAGGCCTAGAAGTTGGCTGCTCCTTTTTGCTGTAAACATGGTACAGCTTGTTGAGATGCACTATCGTCCACCCTTGAAAGAGTTTCTGAGACAGACCAGGTTGAGTGATGTATCCATGCTCGCGGTCGAGAAGAATGAAGATGGGAGCCACAAGATATTGCAACGCGCCTTTCGGCCATATCCAAGTTTGCCGCCTTTTCGGAGCCTAGAAAGACGCAACTGGCACTTTCTCGCGTTGGTGCCTTGTTTCCTTATCGGGCTCTTCACACTCTTCATGCTGGACTCAAAGTGGGATACACCAAGCCCAGCTTGGAAAGGACCGCTTTCTCTTTGGGATCTGCTGATACACTTTTGCTTCCATCTATTTGGTTGGAGCAATGGGTGGAGGGAATCTCTAGACTCTCTTACAGCAGGTAAGCAGAGCCCCACCAAAACCCCGCTTACTGGAGTATACGATGGGGTACGCTCCTTTTCTACATTGATCTTGGATCTACTTTTACTTGTTTGTCTTATCGGTTGACCACACGTGGAAGGCCACATAAAATCTTCTGATGAGCACTACAGACTTGAGCGTTGCAATTCAGCATAGTCAGGCAACTCACGACCTACTTGCATGTCGTGTAAAGGGTTGCAATCATATTCACTATTCCAAATGCAACGTGCCTGGATCTTAGCGGGCAGTATCCCCTTTTTCAGACACCTCATGATGTTGCAATATCATCCGAGTCATTGAAGCAGCGATCTGCGCGGCTTCAGCCTGAATAGAAAGCTTGAATCTTTGCAGAATTACCAGATCATTCCGGGCTGTACACGAGATTCGAACCAACCTACGTCCCCTTTCTGGGCGTCTCGTGGACCAGCTATGCACAGGTGCGTCTCAAGATGCTGAAACACTGCTGACTTCGCATTCCTTCGAACAACCCCTGGAAATCATGCTATTTTTGCGCCTAAATGATGGGACTGCACCCCTCAAAATTTCTTCGATGAAAGTGTATTTTCATAGCTGATGCTCACTGAGCTCGTCGGGCAAGATTTTGGATTGTTTTCTGACCAACTTTCGTGTCTCTGGAAATCTGCATAAGGGCAAAGCTTTTCAGCTGCACTGAGGCCGCACTTAAACAGCATGATGTCATTCACGTGGTGCTTTTTAAGTAGTCTCTCTGAATAACCTAAACTGCTTTCTGCTAATCCAAGTCTGCCAATCTATTCAAAATGCAGGGTAACCGCACGTTCGTTGACTCTGGCCGTCCGTACCTCTTTGGGTCGAGTACATTGTTGAACTACGTGCTTATGTTCAGCCTTGCCGTGCTTCTGTTGAACGGCTTCTACCTCTTCATCGCCCCATACATAGCGGGTTTCAGAGGCCCTTGCTTAACTAGCCAAGAAGAGCTGGATGAAGCAGACGCAACCGTCTATCTCTATACGCGCGACTCAACGTCGACCCCTGGCAAGCTATTTACCACTCCTGATTGGTAGCCCAGGCGGCCTAGTTGGATTTTGCGACCAGCACCTTAGCATCTGCCGGCCGACTGGGCCAAGTCATAAAAACCTCCCTGCCCTTTTGTTACGTAAGATGATTGACGCTTGACAAAACGCAGGTCTTCTAACTACCCTCGTGTCAGAGTAACTACTTCATGAACGTTCATGATGACTAGAACGTCTCTGAGGAGCTAATGGTAGTGGCTCGATCACGGGTCAATGAATGATACGAGCTGGTGATGACCGTCAACATTTGTTCAACCGCTGCAGCGCAAGCTTCCACCGGCAGACCGCTTGTCAGCAACACTGCTGCAAATTGTTGAGGTGGATTGGTAACGCATGGTCAGCGAAGCTCAGGCGAAGCCGACTCATTGAACCTGTGTGGGGGACGGTCCGGCTTCGAATGGACACCCGGCTAAGCGTCACTCATCACATTGAGATCAGCTTTATCTACGCGCTCACGCCGTCCAATCGATAGACGGTGCATGGGTCAAATAGCGCTAAATAGCGTACAAGGCGGCATACCTATGGCAGTTTTGGTCCGCAGCTTCAAAGGGTTCAATTTACTTGTTTCGTCAAACATCATGCAGTGCGCTTTTGCTGCATATATGTTGCCGCGTGCCTGGATGAACGAACCGGAACAGCCGCCGGCTGTTCCGTCAAGTCGGCCTGCGGCAATTGGCCGGGCACGTACACACGGGCCTCTTAATTAGGAGCCGCCAAGGGTATCCAGCCCGGCCTTGCATAGATTCAGGTACGTGCTTCAATCTAATCAAGGCGCCTAGCCTAGCCTAGTCTCAGCTAGCTAGCCGCAGCTCCGGTAAGTTGAGTAGATTTGAGGCGCTTAAGTTAGTACCACCGTGACCTCACAGCACTTCCACATGCTGCCCGGGCACCATGCATGGCACTGCGGCACCTAAACAGCTCATAGATCATCATGTCGGGTACTTTCTAATCGCGGCCAGCAAAGTCTAGTTCACTCATGGTGCGGCACAGCGAGAGTAAGCGGCGTATGCAGCTGCGGTCGAACTCTCAGGCAATCAGCGATCCTTTTGTAAATCATGCTGCCGCTGTATGACGCGCTCGGGGATCAAATACCACATGATGGCAATCTAGCTTCAATCATAAAATGCACATGGTCGCGAATAGCAGACGGTGATTAATTACATCAACCGTCCATGGCATCAAGCATGCATGCCGCAAGGGTTATCATTGATGCAAAGCACGTGCACGCGCACTCGCACAAAAGCCATATGACCCGATCTGGCACCGGCCTCCGGTCGGAGTCCCACTGCCACTGACGCTATATTCAGCTAATGCATTGAAGACGTTGTGATCGACTTGTCATTGGTGCCTCCGGATCCTTGCCAGCAATATAGGAGATTCGTGAACCGTATATCATCAATCACTCCACCCTCCGTCGAGCTAGGCAATTTGAATGTCGAAGCAAAGTCAAGCCCTGGCTTCCGTAGATCAACTCATAATGTTGCGTGTAGCCCCTGCCAATCAAGGTTCGCAGACGACTGCGCAGTTCGCAATCACAATTTTCGCACCAATGCTCTCACCAGCCTGCTCGACAAAACCGGTCCGACAATTCTCGTCCGCTTGCTCTTTCCAAGGTCCCTCCTCGAATCAACTTGACTCAAGGAGCGGGTTCAAGACTAGAGTGCGCCACACCGTTGGTATCTACAAACAACATGGGGGGTAGCGCAGCCCCCTTATCCGCGCCCCCGCTCCTTCCCCCTTCGCTCTCGTCGTCATCTTCCTCACCCAAAACCGGGGGCACTTCGTCCTCGTCAAACCCTCCCCCGAAATCGTCGTCCCCCCCTGGCCCTTCTTCTCCCTCCCAGTCTGCGTCCGTCCCCATAGTAAAGTCGTCCCGCTCACCGTACACGTTCGTCCCTTGCGTTTTCCAATCCTCACCGTTTTCCGCGTCCGACTTTTCTTCCGATTGATCGTCCATTTCAGCTTCTTCGGCCTCTCGGAGAACTTGCGCGATCAACGGCCGCCGCGGGAGGAGGACGGCCCCGGTCTCCGGATCCTTCTTAATCCACGGTGGATCGGTGCCCGGTTCCCAACCCCGGTAGATGATAACCCGGGTGGGCTCCTTGGACACGCAGACCCCGCCCGTCAATCGCTGCAAAGACAAAATCCCAATCATTTTTTGACGAATGAAAGAAACAATCAATCTGGAGGTCTTCCAAACAAGGGACTCGGCTGGTGATACGAGTCGGCTTGCTACAGAGTCCCCCTGAATGCAGCGATTGTCGCCGGGTGCGATGGATGGGTTCTCACCGAAAGCATTGAGATTGGGCCTTGCGACCATCAAAAGGCAGGGGGCTGGACAACAAGAAGCTTTTGCTTGCCAGCTACACAATTCCTTGATGCAAACGCACGCCTCTGTCAATGCAGGCAGGCGGTGCTAGCTGAGTCTACCATATCCCTACTTTAGCACGGGCATCAAAAACAGCGAACTTGTCTTGGGATCTCAACTAACACATGTCGGTACTACAGTCTAGCTCCCCGTGGGCCACTAAGAGAATCTACTTTTCCCCCCCTCCATCGACAGGACCTGACAACTTCGCGCTTCTTTCAGGAAATGTCTCACCTCTAGTTCGATCATGCACTCCTTGACGGTGATCCCGTTCGGCCGCTGCTTGAGCGACACCTTGGCAAAGGCGTGCTTGTAGAAGTGCTGCCGGATGGTCAGGCCCAGACCCTCCGTGATTCCGCGCTTGCCTGCACGATTGAAGCGAAGTTTGAGAACGGAACGGAATGGAACGGGATCTACTGGCACGTCTTTAAGCAAAGGCGTTTCGGACGGTCAGCCGTAAGACGAGGACGTTGAAAAGGAAACGCAACATGAAAGGAAAGCAAGGAACATTGAAGACGGGAGACCCCAAATGAAATTCCACACTCGCGCATTCTTTGAAAAGCTCGTATTTGAGCACAGAACGACAGCAATTGCTTGTAAGGATGGCACGGACTAGGAGCAAACAACAACCAACTGTTTTTAAGCAGCTACTCGTCGATCAGGTGTAACGAGCTCGGACACAGGCAGAGGCTTAGGGATGACGTCAACATGACATCACTCACCGACGAGGAAGGCGTTGGTGCGCTCCTGCTTGGACATCCGGGCAATCTTCTGCTTCTGCAGGGGGGACATGTCCGGTGCGCGCCAGAAGGCCGGGAGATCCGGCTGGTTGTGCTCCTTCGGGATGAGCGGACCCTGCAAACGGAACGGAAAGGACGGACGGATGTCAGACGTGAGAGTTGTAAGTTCGAAAGACCCATACACGTCATCTGTGAAAACTTGCCCATCTGGGTCCTTCAACCTTCAAGTTTTCTCAAAATCATCCTCGTTTGCCCGCCCCGTTTCCGGATGACCACCTTCTGAGTCGATAAAAGGAGCATCCGAAAGAATTCAATGTCACCGCCTGCAAAACTTCCCCAAATGCGCGCACTCCAGTGATTTGCAAGAGTGGAATCTTCCGGTTTCTTGAGCTCTTTCCTGACGCACCTGTTTGCGAAGCTTCATTCCTATGGTTATAATCCATTCCACCGTCTCAAGGTTCACCACAAACTCACAAACCCCCAAAACTTTAGAAAGTTGACAATGCCCAGTCCCCAGCTGTTATCCAGACCGCCTGCTCACCTGTTTTCGAAGCTCCCACTTCTACGGTGGTGTTCTTCGGGGATACAACCTACTTGCTCACAATCATATGCTTGAAGATCTAGCGAATTCAGATATAGTCCAGGGATACAAGTCCAGGAATCCTTTCGCGGGCTCACCTGTTTCCGCAGCTCCATTTCTACGGTGGTGTTTAGTTCCACTGCTTCAGGAATCACAACATACTCGCGCACCGCAGGGCATCCAAGAATGTATATTGCATAGATTTTTGAAATGATTTGGCTGCCCACCTGTTTCCGGAGCTCCATTTCGACGGTGGTGTTGAGTTCCACCGCTTCAGGGATAACGACATACTCGCGCACGCCGGGCGCCAGCGGGTATTCCTGCTTCTTCTTCTTGGGGGCCTCGGCCGCCTGCTCCAGCTGCGCGCCAGAGGGTGTGACGTCAGCAGAGGAGACCGAAGTGACGTCACAGGGAAGTACTTTTGGCAGCAGCAACGAGTTCAGCAAAGGGCGAGAGCTTTGACAGAAGGGCGTCTTGACGCGAAAGCGGTGACGATAGGGGACTCGGTAAGTGTCGCAGCACAACTAATCATAAGGTCTGGATGCCCGTCGATCTGCGATGCCACTGCTCATATGTAAGCGAAACCAAGCACATGCACTTCCCAGGTTCAGAAACACCCAGCTTGGACCAATTCCTCGTGTACGCTCAAAAGTTCAAATTCAACTTTGGGTTACATAAGTGGTCAGTCTCTCAACAGCTGAAAGGCCTCACAGCAAAAAGCTCAGGGGCAAGTGCTCGCGAAGGCTCGATGGCGTTCCGTTCCATCGAAGTTAACCCTTGACACTAGAAGACACAGACCGTTCTAACTTTTTCGGAGAAGTAAGTCAGAGAGAAAACCAGCAACTGCATTAACAATCAGGTGCTGCCCTTCTAATCTGGTCAGGCGGTAGCCCATTAAAGAATGCTCCTACGAATCTAGTTCTTCTAGCACGCTTCTTTCAAGCAACAACCCCATCAACCGTGCTAGGTCAAATAGTCAATACCTTAAGGCTGTACTCGAGGCGTTTCCGCTGTTTCGCCAGCTCCTCCTGTCGCTGAATCTCCAGGTCTAGCAGCGACTGCGCGCGCTGCTCCGCTTTGGCGCGCCGCAACGCCTCCTGCTTGTTCAGCATGTGGACGGGGACGATCGTCTCGGGGGCGATGTAGTTCTTGCCGCGGTACAGCAGGATCGTCGTCCCTACGTAGTCTACCAGCACGCCCCCGCTCTCAACCTACGAACAAGGTTTTCGGATTCATCAGGTTTAAAGCTCGTTCGAGGGGGTTGAAAACTGTTCAGCGTGTGGACGGGGACGATTGTCTCGTAGTTCTTGCCGCGGTAGAGCAGAATCGTGGTGCCCCATAGTGTACCAGCGCGCCCCCGCTCTCTACCTACAATGAAACACCGTTTGTTTTGAAACTGCAAAATCAGATCTACAAGGGTTGAAAATATTCAGGATTTGATCAGCACATAAAGAGACAGATCGTTTCGGGGCGATGTGGTTCTTGCCACGGTAGAGAGCAGGATTGTCGTCCCTACGTAGTCTACTAGCACACCCCCGCATTCCACCTACAACAGAACGTTTTGTGTTGAATTAACAGAAACAGACTTCAGCTTCCAAAAGGGATGGATTTGAGGTTGATTAGCATGTGGACAGGGACGATGATATCCGGGGCAAAGTAGTTCTTGCCGCGATAGAGCAGGACCGTCGTGCACACGTGATCAACGAGAACGCCGCCGCTCTCGACCTGCCACAATAAAGCTTGCAGTGAATTTGCAAAACTGGGTTTCAAAAGTCGAGTGGTTCACAGTGTGATTAGCATGTGGACGGGAGACGATAGATTCCGGGTGCGATGTACTTCTTGCCACAACGAAGGCAGAATCGTCGTTCCCACGTGATTAACGAGAACGCCGCCGCTCTCGATATATAAGAAGACCGCTTACGTTGGTTGGGGATATGATTAAGGGTAGATGGGGTTTGGAATTCGGTTTTCATGTGCACTGGAAGAAACGTCTTACGCACAGTGTGAGACTTTAAAGCATGAACCAGAATAAACACTCCCCCTTGGAAAACTAAGAGCGCGCCGCCGCTCTCAACCTAGAAACAAGGCCGTTGGGCCTGGGAATCGAAAAGGGTGTCTATGACAGAGCGCAACGAAAAGATCGTGCTGAACAACAAATAATGCACAGCCCCAAGAAAGTTTTTACTTCTCCGGATTGGCCGCACCCGCAAGCTTTTATCACTACGTCCGACTTCCTGGCTTCAAAGATGCGGTCAATCGTGCGTCAGAATCATCGCGAGGGTAGGAAAGTCCATTCCATGATAGACAAACAAACGTCCCTACACGGTGCTGAAAAGCACAGGGCCTGACGCATCCTTCATCAACCTGACGAAACAACTTTCAACCTTCCGAATCCGTCCTCCATATTGGAATGCCAAGAAAGATATTCTTGGAAGACGAGGTAGACAACTCACCGCAAGCTGTTCCGCAACAATGGGCACGATCTCCGGCCGGATTCCGGTGCACTTAACCTTGCACAGCTCGTGGCGCTTCCAGTGTAGATGGATGTTCTGGATCGTCCCAGAAAACACGCCACGCCGCCCTGCAGGTAAAAAAGAAGGAGCGCTTGGGGCTTGAAGGAAACGGAGGACGAAAGAACGGTACTTCACTAGAGGAGGTGCGCAGATAAAGTGACTTCATTCGTGTGTATCCTTTCTTGTAAGAAAGCAGCCTGTGCGGACCAAAGCAGTACTAGTCAAGCCGAGTACAAGATGGACGATCCACGACAAAAAGAAAAATCATTCAAGCATGGCAGCTGCAGACAATAATGGAAGGATGGTCGAATGTAGGAAGCAGACTGAGGTTTCAAGAAGCAACTTTATGCAGGACCGAGCATCAGACACTCATGAGCTTGACACATTTCCATGCGTTATTGGAAACCTCGCCTCTACATGGGCAACACACTGTGCAGCAAGGGGCCGGCACACAAACAAACAGTGACACACCGTAATGTCAAGGACAACACTCACCGACTTGCAGGAAGCGCCGCTCGCCGAGCCCCTTCTTGCGCAGCGCCGCGCGCTCCTCGGGCGTCAGCGTCTCGACGTCCCGCCGCCGATACGCCGCGACTGCCTCGAGCATCTGATCGATCCGCGCCTGCGGGACTTCGTCGTCGAGAACCACCAGATCCTTCACCAGCTTGGGCGCGGGCTTGTTCACACCGTCCGAATCCGCGCTCGTGGCGTCCGAATCCAGAAATGCACCGTCCGAATCTTGAATGGCAGCGTCCAAGACTGAGCTCGCAGCGTCCGAAATCAGCTTTGCAGCGTCCGCATCTGCTCCTGTACCGTCCGACACAGCATCCGCATCGTTTTCCTCTTCGTTGTCGACCGACTCGCCGGTGGCCGAATCGGCAGCGCTCTCGCCGGAAGTCGCGTCCAACAACGCCCTCAACCGTTTCACAGTCTCGTTCGCTCCGGACGCTGCCTCAGATTCGGACCGTCCGGAGCTGCTTACCAAACCCTCCTCAGCCGACAACACCTTTTCCAACAGAGGCGATACCCCCTCCGAACTGGTTCCGCTAACGGACGCCCTAACCCCGTCGCTAACCTCCGCCTTCTCGGCGTCCGAACCACTCTCCACAGCGTCCAAAACGCTCGCAACTCCCTCCGAACCGCCCGGAACCTCTAGAGATTCCACCTCCCCAGCCACTTTCAGCTCTTCCCTCGCGACCTTTTCGTCTTCCGCCAGCTCCTCCTCAAACTCCCGCTCGGAAACGCCGGCTTCCGCAACCCACGTCGCGCTCGGCGCTTCCATCGGCACTGTTTCACCGTCCGAAATTTCGAGTGCCGCGGACTCTTGTTCCCGCTCGGCGGCTTTCTCGGCGATCATGCGCTGCTGGTAGCGGCGTAGGGCCTCGCCGATACGGAGGGGGAGGTAGTCTTTGCCGCGGTAGATGGAGATGAGGCCGCCCTCTTTGACGAGCAGAACTCCCCCGATGAGGTCCTGCATTGTAATTGTGCCAAAATTTAGGTATTCTGATTGACGGCCGAAGATGGGCACGTGAAAGCGAACGCTGGTGTAGTCTTCGCGACAGTAAAAAGAATGAGACCGCCTTCTTTGACGAGAAGGACCCCCCCGATGATGTCCTGCATAGTGGATGCGAAGGTTCTTAAATCCAAAATCAAGGATGTGAACAAACGGGATTGGAAGCCTGCAAAAGTGAATGTTTAAACAGAGGCTGTTAAAGAAAAAGAGGCTGTCTAAACATTCACTGTTGATCGCGGTAAAAGAGGAGGATAACACCCCCTTTCGAGGACGTCATAAAGAAGAGGGATGCCAAAGTGGACGTGTAAACGGATGCCCAGTTTTCGCTGCAACACATAAAGATGTAACAAGAAGAAGCCGCCAGACAGTCTTGGAGGAGGAAGCAAAGAACACTTTCCGCCACTGTTGCTGAAAAAGCCTTCTGACTTCAACTTGAGCGAAACGTCAATTCTTGATAGCTCATCACAAAACAGTCCTCAAGGGGCGGCCGCAGAAGGTTTTAAACTTGCCTGGGCAAAACCTGACGGGAAAACTGAAAACGAAAACTTCAAATCCAAAGCAGAATCTGACACTGCAGAAGAGTCTGATTGAAATCACCCAATGTATTCAGACCACAACGACCTCACCTGAATGGCCTTGGCCGTCCTCTCAAGGTTAGCGTTGATCACCGCGCGGCAGCTGATCTTGACTATCTCGTTGCGCTCCCAGTACTCCATGATCGCCGCAGCCAGGCCGTCGAAGCGCCGCTGCTGGCCTGCATAAGCGGGGGGTAGAAGAAAATAAGGGAGCAAAATAGACAGCGCTTATGGGCACAGAGCAGCATAGGCAAAGCTGAGCAGACTCCTCAGATTTACTTCTGTGCACGAAGGTGGAGATATTTCGAACCAGCCTGCACAAGCGAAGGACAAAAGGAGCGAGGTGTTTGCAATCAGACGCGATTCCCGCAGATGTTCAACGATTTCCGCAGACGTTCAATGAAATACTGTCAGAGCGAGGTGCAAGTCGTGTGACCGTCTCATAATGAACCATACACGCAAATATACTTAAGTTCGAAACTCTGCACATTTGAAAGTTCAGGTCATCTTCGAGCACTCGGATTGTCATTCCCACCAATCCGGCAATCCGGGAACCTGGACGCTGCCGCAACTTAAAAGGAAAGATGAACCAAACCCTTCATTCCAGCTTGCACCCTAAGAATCCAACGCACTCACTCTTTACCTAAAACTTTGAACCGCCAACAATCGTCATCCTAGTGAACCCCTTACCGAGCACAAACGCTGGTTTGATCCGCTTCCCCTTACACCGCGGCATCACCATCTCGAAGTTGGTCAGCTTGTACTCAAAATCATCGCATATGCAACAAAATCCATCTTCCCGACCTACTAAAACACCAAAGTCGAGAACTTCTGCAAAGCACCAGTCCTTTACCGAGCACAATTGCCGGCTTCATTCGCTTCACCTTGCGCCACAGCATCGCCATCTCAAATTTGGTCAACCGACTGAGTCCACTAAAAAGATACACAACAGCAACTAAATCTGTCTCACTCTTAAACTTTCCTTCCAATCTAAGCATCTTTCATTCAACCCGCTTACCAAGCACGAACGCCGGCTTGATCCGCTTCCCCTTGCGCCGCAGCATCATCATCTCAAAGTTGGTCAGCTTGGCGGTCTGCCCCGGAGGCAGCCATCGCACGGGCTTTTCCGTCAGGCGCTTGCGCACGCCGCCCTTCTCGCCGCCCGACATGAGCGCCACCTTGCGCGCAAACTGGGGGACGTCCTCCGTGTGGTCGCGGAGCAGAATAGGAGCGACCGAAGCTGGAAGGATAGAAAGGGGTAGCTTGAGTTCAGGACCAAACATGTTTTTTTGAGAGGAGTAAAAGAAGCTTCGGAGAATCATGACCTGACCGCCAATTGCGCGCAAATTGGGGAACGTCCTCCGTGTGGTCGCGGAGCAAAATGGGGGCAACAGAGGCTGGTAAAAGATAGGATCGGGTTCAAAATTCGGCTTCCCACATGTCCTTCCGCATGTGTCTTTCTGGAATGTCGTCTGGACTACTTTAAGCAATGACGCCACATGGCGCGCAAACTGGGAGCCGCAGAGCAAAGATCTGAGGCAACCGAGAGTGGAAAGAGGGACGGTAAGTACATTAGATTTCGGCGGATGCTTGAAAACTTAGACAAAACATAGTAAAGCGGAAATCAACGATGACACGAGCGCCACTTTGCGCGCGACCGGAGCGACGTCCTTTGAACCCGCCACCACCTCCGCTCCAGGTGGGGGTTCCAGCGGAAATAGGCAGTACAGAGTTTAAAACAAAATCGAAGATACTTCAAAACTCAGCAGAAGGTAGATAACTTGGATTTGAGGAAACCCATCAAAGCCGTTAACACGATGACATGAGCGCCACTGTGAAACACACACCGGGAGACGTCTTCAGTCCGATTGCACAGCAGGATGGGGGCGACCGAAGATGACACAGTAAGTGGAGTAGACGAGATCCAAAAGTACTAGCTCAGGTCACATAACATACGAGGTTGCAAGCCACGACATGGGCAAAAGGTCGTGAAGCAAAATAGAGTGATCGAAGCTGGAAAAGACAACGACTTCTAGAATAGGCCGGAGGTTGGGCAAACAGTGGGTTGAGACATCCCCACACTGTCCATGAGCTTCCAAAATTGAAGGAATGTCATTGAGCAGAGCACATGACACGTGCTGTCACCGATCCCAATCCAATGGTAAACGGAAAGAACTCAAAGTCGGCGGAAGATACTCACTGATGCCATCTTCCACCTCGAACTGCGTCATAAGGTCTCCTTCCTCCAGGTCGTCGCTCTCTCCAAACAAGTCCTGGTCGCCAATCGCTTCCGTGATGTCATTGATCTTGGATCGTGGCGGGGGGCCCTTGTAGTCCGGTCCCCGGTACAGGTGGATCAAAGTGCCAGTGCGCAGGATTACCAGCCCGCCGGTTTTCTCCTGCATAAGGAACGTGACGTCAGCATAATATCGGTATGACATCAGCTTGTTGGTTTCGGGTACGGCGGGGAGCCCTTGTAGTCCGGTCCCCGTTACAGGTGGATAAGGGTGCCCGTCCGCAGCATCACCAGCCCGCCAGTTTTCTCCTGTGACTACGAAGCGATGATGTCGGCGCGAGAAGCGGATGACGTCAGCATGAGGAGCGGCGCCACGTCAGCATGAGGAGCGATGGCAAAGCGCAACGGCCATGTCCATTTGAGTTCCAATTCCTCATTGAGATTGCACAAGAAAAAATGCAGACGGATGGCTATCTCGTCCGCAAGATCAACAGGAGGCCACTGTCATTCTGAGGGAAGGGAAAGCGATGTTACCCAGCCATCACTCTTCAAGAAGGGCGCGGAAGCGGAACCAATTTCCATCAGAGTTCTGTCCAACTTACACAGCATTTTGAATCATTGAGGATACGCATCCATCAATCTTTCAATCTTGGCAACTCGAAGGCAAATCGCAACATAGTGACGGGCTTTGTCTAACGCTGAGGCTCAGATGGACTACGTAATGCATGATTTGGACTCGAAAGCTTAAAACTGTCGTCAATACTTCTCCTGACTTTCTACCTGATCAATATGCTGCAGGTTAGGAGCTCGCTGCTTCAGAGGCAGCCCTGCGCTGACGAAGTCGCTCGGAAAAAGTTCACCAAGACCAGATGAAAGTCTGGACGAAAAGGCCGAACAAATGGCGATAATGAGGTGCATAGTCGGATAATGGGTCAGGAAAAGAGGTGTGCGAACCTTGAGCAAGTTGTGCAGAGCCCGCAGCTACCGAGCTATGCGGATGCAGCGCGTTACTACCTGATGTAAAGTCCGGACTCAAGGAAGGAAGACCAAAGCGCAGGTGCGAGGAGGAAAGAGATGAGGGCTGAGAGAGTAGGGGTGTGCGAACCTCGAGAGTGTTGTGCAGCGCGCGCATCTGGCCGTGGAGCGCATCCTCGCGCACCTTCAGCTTGGCCACCTCCAGGTTCTCCCACACCTTGTAAATCTCGTCCAGGACCGTGTTCGTCACGCCCGTCTTGCCTGCACGGAGAAAACGCGGGCTCAGGACTTTGTCGAACCACATCCCGGATGAAAACGTAGCGGATCGCTGTAGTGTGACCAGGAAACGAAGGAGCCAATACAAAACTGCACCAGCTCTCGGGTCCCTAAGCGAGTACATGCTTCCGCAGGTCCAGCTAATCGAAGGCTCTGCTCCTAAACCTTAAATCCTGTGACGCGTGATTTCAGTTTCACTCATTGAGGATCTCATGGGGAATTCCCTGGTGTCATGCCAACGATCGGACTGCAGACGCCGCGGCACCGATGAAGACCTTCGCTCACCTATCTTGAGGAACCAGCGCTGTCGAATTGCGTTCCTCCTCAGCCGCTTGAGCTCCGCTTCCTCCAGAATCATTTCTGCCCGATACATCGCTCGCCGCCGCCGCAGCTTCTCTGCACGCTCTTCCTCCTGCATCCGGTACTGCGCCTCCTCCAAATCTTCCACCTCAAGGCTGGCAGTTCAGAGAGGAAACGTGTCAGATACGAAAAAGAAAACGTAGATCGCAAGACAGGATGTGTGCATCCTCCGGATCCTCATCTCGGGTTGCCGTGAGAGGACACTTCAAAGGAGAGGAAGATGTGACTCTAGATAACGAGGACATCCATCGAATTGTGCCTTCGACAAATCTTCGACCTCAGGGCTGGCCAATGAGAAGAGGACGAGCGTCAGGAAGGAAAGAGGTGAATCTGACTCGCAAGACTTGTTCATTTTCCTGCGACGTGACTAGGCTTCCTCACAGATCCTCCGCCTCAAGGCTGGAAGAAGGAGAGAAGAAGTCATGCCACAAGGAGAAGGACCTAACTTTCAACCAATGTTCACAGTCCTGCAGCTATGTTGTGCCTCCTCCAAACCTTCCACATTGAAAGTAGGACACGCGTGAGGAGAGGATAGGGTAAATGTGTACCACGGAACACTTTTTGTCGGACTTTGCCTGCTTCCAGCTTCTATCTCGAGGATGGCGAATGCCGAGACGCGGCGTTTGGCGAAGAATGACTAAACCTCCTGGAGGGATATTTTCCCTATCCCAGTGCACTTCCGTTAAGACTGCCATCTCATGGGGCCAGAGTTTCGTGTAGCATTTGTCGACTAGCTTTTAGCTTTTGTTAAATGAAGAGCCTGCAAACATGTCTTCAGTCTCGTGGCAGTGTTTGTGCATATCAACCTCAGAAGCTAAGCAAGGTGACTCTTGTTCACCACCTCAGAGAACTAGTGTGTGAGCAGATCACCCTGAGAAAGTGAGCAAGGTAATAAGCTGCAGCGCAACCAGAAAATGTAAACAAAACTTGTGCCACTCACTCGTGACTGAGGGCCGCCCTCGCAAACGAGATCTCCTCCCCCCCGTGCTCCTCGTCCCAAAATCCGTCGTCCTCTTGCTCCAATCCCGACGGTCTCTGCTTCCCCCCTTTCTCCTCCTCAAACTGGATCTCCCCATCTCTCGCTACCGGCCTAAACCTCGACACCGGGGGGGCCGGCGGCCTCCTCAGCCACTGCTGGGGGGCTCCTCCCTGGGGCAAATCCTCCCCCCTGTCAAAATTCGGTTCCTGCGGGGGGCGGTAGACCGGAGGCGACTCTACCGCTGCATTGTATCTCGTCTCTCTTGGGGGCCGATAACCTCTGTTGTTTTCGGGTTTCCATCCGAGGTGGTTAGTGTCGGGTGGGTCCTCTCGGGGCACGAACCGGGGTTTGATGCTGTCAATTGTTGGGCCGACGTCTAACCCGGGAGGTTTGGGTTTCTGGAACGGCGTAACCGCCTGGTTCTGGAAGTCGCTGGGGGCCATCCGACCAGAGGCGCCTCTACCGCCTTGCCGGGAGTTTGGGGGCGCGCTAACCCTGTTTCTAAACTGGGGGCTTCCAGGGCGGCTGTCAAATGGCGAAGAATCTGATTGGAATCGCCTTTCAGAAGGGGGCGAGCTGACCCCGTTCCTAACCCAGGGCGTTTTTGGCCCAGTTTTGGACGGCCTGTCTTCCGACGAGAATCGATTTTGAGGGGGGGGCCGAGGCTCGGGGGCTGTCCGAATCCTGTCCCGGAAAATGTCGCGCTGCGAAAAGTCGCGAAACTCTGGACGCTTCCCCTCATCCAACGCGTCAGAATTGCGCAAATCGTTCGCCTTCCATCCGTACAAGTCCCGCTCATCGAGCCCCAAGTTCCCCGCCAATTGCTTTCCCTGCTTCTCGAACAGTTCCTTCTTCAGGAGCGTGCGCCGGAAGGGGACGCCCGGTTCTTCCGGGGGGCCTCCAGGAAGACCTGGGGGGATCCCCCCCTTCGGAACCCTAGGGCGGCCCCTTTCAAATGACCTCGTCTGGACTCCACCATCATCATCGCTGACGTAATCACTGACACCGTCGTCCCCAGAATTTGCCTGCCAGCCAGAAGTCCGCTCAACTTGCGCCCGACTATCCGGGGCAAAACTCCCTGACCGTGCGCCTGGGGCGTTGTACCGACCACCACTCCCATCGGCAGCAAACATGCCTCGTCCGCTTGCGAAGGTAGCTCCACCCCGTGCGCCGCGACCATTACCACGGCCCTCTCTCTGCTGCTGACCGGAGTATGCTTCATTACCATTCTGGAACCTGCGCTCCCTAAAATCCTCCGAGTACCCCCGCTCCTCGTTGCTGTGACCACTTTCGCCATCGGAGGTAGACCCTGCCCCTTGCCACCGTTCACGCTCGTCCTGGTATGATTCCTCTTCTTGCGATGAGGTATAGGACGCCCTCTCAAAGCCCCTGCTGCCACTGCGCCCCCCATATGTGGCACAGACGTGCAAATGGCGCCTCCGTGATTTTTGGAAACCTTGGTCTTCCCTGGAACGCTTTTCAAATGGTCTAGCATCAGTCAACAAGAATCTGGAATAAGAAAGTGAAAGCCTTGAGTTCAGTATGGCTCTGCTTTGGGCGCAAGATATAGTGCTGCAGCGAATGCTCTCGTGCGAAGTGCGAAGCTTGCAAGAGCTTGAACTGTTGACAATGCAAAGCGCGTCCTCATTGTTGATTCCTCGCCAGCGATTGAGTTGCACAGCGGGTGGGGGCCGACACAATTGACCCCCAGCGGTAGCCATTTTCGAGAGCTCGCTCCTCGCTCCTTGCACAGTACTCTGACCCCTCCTGACTTCTCTCTGATGAGAATGCTGATTTGAATTTTGAGGAGGCTGCAATTTGCAAACTCAGTGCGCACAGAATTTTGCAAGCTGGCTGGTCGTCGCGTAGCGGCCGCGTTGCGCAAAGCGCGGACGCGTGACCACCCGACGCAGCCAAACTTTTGCGGGACGTTTGGACGTTCCTGGAAGCCTTCCAGGAAGGCACTGCTCAGAGTCAAGGCTCAGGGCAACCTGGACGTCCGGAGCAGCGCTTAGGCAGGGAGCTAGCCTGCCTTGACCAGCTGGCAGCACCTGCAGGCTGCAGCAGCTCCGAGTCAGCTCGATGCAGAACAATTGAGGTTCTGCGAATGGGGCGTCCATATTAACTTCGCATAAGAGAGCCCGTCAGTCGTCTTCTTTTCCGGCGCATTGATCAGACGTCTACCTTCCCGTCTGGTCGAGAGCAAGACCTTAAGGGCCCAGACATTGGAAAGGCTTGATGCTGTTTCCAAGAGCGTGTAGGACAATTGGTCAGCGTTTGCAAAGCCCAGACCGACTCCGGGGTGCTGAACGATTGGCGGAGCCGAAGGAGCTGACGTAGATTCCATAACGAAGAGGACTTGGTGAGCTACCTGTTGTAATCAATCTTGCTCCTCGATTGCAAGCAGAGCTCAACTTGTGGGCCGGAAATGCTGGTCTGTTGTGCAAGCTCGGCAATGCGCTCTATCAGTCATACTCTTTGTTATGTTTGTCAATCGGTTCCTGATTGAGTAGAATGCAAATAGCATTGCGTTGGAACATCACTATCAGCCGGAGCTGAAAACCGCAAGCCCTACGGGCTTGAGCTGGATCTACGAGCCAATGATCAAGCAGCTCTTCAGCATCTAGTCCATCACTGTGACTCAGCATCAGAATGTAGGCTTTTAGTGCTCTTCAGCTGTTCGAGAGCAATGAAATTAATATTGCCACCCCATGTTTACTGTGTCAGCTGAGAGCAGCTAGAAACAACTGAAAGATGGGCGTTTTGGTATCTTTAACAGCTCATCTGACAATCAAAATGATCTCCTTCAGGAACACGTACAACCGCCTTCTGGTTGGATAAGTTAGAGGAGGCAGGTTTGATGCTCCCTTAAACAAGCTGCCCCCAGAAGCACCGCTCACCTTGCTTCACCCCTGGATGGTGAGAACATGGTCATCTAGGATTTAACACCAGTCACTGTCAGAATCTAAATTGTAGTTGCAATGACACCACAATAATTCCATACCTGCTGCGAAAGGGTTTCTGCTGGCGATCTCTCCTTGCGTTTGCTACATGAAAGTTGGCTGTCTTTGTGTTCTGGACTAATACTCCTCAATGTGTCGCAACTAGACAAACCCCCTGTGCGTCCCGTCGGTACCCTCCATTCCATCAGTACCCGACACGGATTGACTCAAAGTACAACCTGTTTGATACAGAAATGGATCGGAGCGCCACAGGATAAAACGACGTAAACTTCGAAAACGTTCTTGTCTCGGAAGTCTTGCTACTGACGCTGGACTAGCACCAGCTGACAGCCAGAGCGATGTCATGCTAAGCACATGAAGCTGCAAATCACCAGCAAAACAGGTACTAACCGGCGCAATACTTCCTGCCCCACTCCCGTTTAGGTGATTTGGTTTGCATTCAAAGAGCTGCATAGATCCAAAGGTCCTCACTCTGGTTGTGCAGGAAGCACAAACCGACCACTTCAGTGAGAGACTGAGGGCCATGGGTTTTGGCGCCAGAGAATCCTCGTCGGATGTTGAACACGATTCAGACATGTCACCCGCTCCCAGACGCTGGGGAAATACAGGTAAATCTGCGCAGCCCTCGCTTTTTCCAGCTGCGACCTTAAGTGGAACCAGTTCAAAGTGAAAACGGGAAAGATTCTTGGTCCTCTTCGAAGATTGGACTCAACCCGTCAAGCTCGCACGGAATGTCTTAACAAGTGTCTGCTTGATTTTGAGAATCGTCTCGAGATCCAGAAGGTCTGGTTGCACAACCATGCTATTACAAAACCCCGGCGACAAGGGTTGTGACCATGTTCTGGTCCTGTGATTGCACGGAACGTCAGCTGACTCAGACCCTCTCTTCAAGGGATTCGAACCTTCTCGAAGCTCGCCAAACCAACACACAAATATTCAAGCAGCAGGATGGATTCTACCCTTTCATTGTTGTTTTTTGGCGACCATCTTGGCGCTCCGGAATCCCTCCGTCTCATTCGTCGTTGTCTCATTTCAGAGCCTTCTCGAAGCAAGGTCAGGCGATCCGTCAACTTTCGGCCGGAACTCAAGTCAGGCCGGAATCCGCTCGAGCGGGCTGCGGCCAGCTCGGACGGAATGGCGCGCGTGCAAACAGGGGCAGCGCTCGGGGCCTGCCGCGAACGGTGTCGAGACCTGGAGTGGCGTTTGCAGGTGAGAAGGCTTGACATTGGTGCGCTTATATTTTGAACAATTTGCATTTCTGACGGGCGAATCCCGAATTGAATCTAGGACTTTGGATCGACTCTGCGGCTGCACACGCGCGTTTGGTAACATGTTTTGCGCGCGGCTCGCCTCGTGTTTGTATTTATAACGCAACATCGGAAAAAAACGCGCGAGCAGCCGCAGACCCGGTAAACTAAGTTCGAAATCAGTTCCCGGCTTTGCCGGTTCAAAATCTGAGCGACCGAAGTTGGACGCACCGGTCTTACTGAGTTTCTGCGTCTTGGTGTTCCTCTGAGTTGACGTCCTCCAGAGTTGAGCTCTAGCAGCTTCCTGCTGCAAGTGAATCGTCCGACTCGCAAAAGAAAACCTTGATCTGGATTGCTGCTGCCTTCTTCGTAAGGGAACTCAACGACTTGTTTGAGACGATTGACAAGGGGTTCTGAAGAGAACGAAAGTTGAGTCAATCAAGGCAAGAGTCCCGCTGGAGCTGGTCAACTTGTCGAGGTTCAATAACGGGGAAACTCGCTCGTTGCCAGACTTGATCAAAAGCTCTGCCATCAAAATGACAGCAAAGCGGAGGAACCTGGATCCTTCTCGGGTCTCTCCAAACAGCCGTGACAAGGCTAGAAGGGGGAGAAGTCAAGTCAGAGTCAATCGTTAGACCCGTATACGGAAGCACTAACTTCGTTCACTAGAACAATCTATGGTGCTTAGCGTTCTGAGGTGCTCGAGGTGAAGACATCTTCGTGCCTTTCCGCCATGACTTTCCAGTCAGAAAGCCAATTACAACGAATAATCGACTGGTAAGGTCGAGCAGAGTAAGACCGCCCCTACCGTCGATGCAGATGGCGGAGGAGACGATCCAACGGCAGACGCAGGAGCTGACGAACCTGCGGATGCAAAACGCCACCGAGGCGCAGCAGGAGCGAGTCGAGGCACGGCTGCGGCGCATCGAGAAGCAGAAAGAAGTTGACGTAAGCTGTCTGATCTTGTACTCAATGTGCCTGGTTGAAATTGCATTCCAATTTCGCTGTGCGCAGACACAAAAGTCACGAAAGGATGGCCGTTGTATCTCCGTGTTGGGCGGAATGGCGGCCCGCTTACCAATTCGTGAGCGCCGTCGGACGCTTCGGACATGCCGAGGCTCTGCAACCGTGATGGCACCCAACATGGCTCGCATCCTCATACAGTGCTTTGAACGGCAAAAGAACTCCAAAGATTATGGTTCAGGGTTTTGTTTTGGGTTGCAGGGCTTTGATAACCAACACTTCCGCCAAAGAATGGTCTCCTTTGAACTCAAGTTGTTTTTGCGCTCTCACTCGATCGATTCTATCGTGTATGACGTGCTCGAGCTTGTTGAATTGCTACCTAAGCGTTTACTGCATTAATTTCAACTCAACGCATGCCTTCGCAGAGCATTATGTTGCGGCACGAGCGCCGCCGGGCAGCTTTCTCCCCGCCCCGGACGCGCCTCCTTTCCCCTCCCCGGCTAGGTTCACGCGTGGGCTCATCGCCCAGTCTGAAAGACTTTGGATCACCCCCCCGGTATGAAAGAGGCCTTGTCTCGTGGGATTCGAGCCTCCACCCAAAAGCGGGCGAGTTTCCGACCGACTCGGACGAGGCCTTCCGGCGATACATGGCGGACTTTCAACTGGAGGTGCGGAAAGGCCACTATTCATTCCGAATAGAGCTTGTGTGGTTGAAATCTGAGCTTGCTTCACTTAACCACTCTTGTCGAATGCGATGCACTTACTATACGTACATGGCTTTCTTGAGAGATACAACTCGTCGTTCTCGGATGCTCCTTTGTCGGCAAGCCTGTGTGTTGCTCTTGATTGTTTCATTCTCTCGTTTGACTGTGTACTCCGTGTTACAATGCAGACGGACCGGTTACGAGCGAGATTGGGGATCTCGAGCACTGGGTAACAAGGACATACCCTATAGACCACCCGTATAGAGCCTTGGTTGAAAGGGAACGCATTTCATGTTGGCAGACAAGGTGTTTTTGTAATGCCTTTTACTCACGGCAAGCCAATCGCTCCCAATCAAGTAGTTTATTGTGCCTACTGAGAAGAATTGCCTGCAGTCCCCGAATCTGCACGTAGTGCACTTGCAAAATATGACATGCACATGATGCTCATTGCCAGGTAACTTAATATCTGCCTGCTGACTGCAGGCGGCCCCACGCACGCATGCCAGGGCTGCCCCTGGCAATATTCAATGCTAGCCGCCGACCGGACAGGCCGTCTCCTGACTCATGCATCCATTTGCATGCGCCCCGCTGACCGAGTCAGCTCGGCACGTACTACAAATTATGCCACACGCACTAGGCTCCATAATCCGCACTACCTATTGTAACCGCATATACATGACGGTCACGTATACCAAGTTACATGATCAAGATATCATGCGTAGCATGAATGACACATGCATATGATCGAGGGGCCATTGAATATAATAACTCGATCAGTCACGCTAAATCACACGATATGATACGGTGATGGTTACGCATCATGGTGAGTCCGGCGCCGCGGGCCTGTTTTTGTCATAATATTTATACCGGTAGCATCATGCAAGGCATGCATGACCTTACTTAATGATTTGAAGCCCCCCAAATCAAAAATCCTTTGGAGCTAATACGGCACATGTGCAGCACAACTGTCGCGATGATCAAATCGTCGCGTCAGCGCGGGCCCGTTATTGCATTAATCCACGCTGGGACCCGGTCACCTAGCATTTGTGTCGGACTGGCAGGGTACGTTTACTGAAACTAGGTTGGAGCCAGTGATTGGCCGCAATCGATCCAGGTTCGGGCGGGGCCGCCACGGGCGAGTCATTTGCGATCCAAATCTTGGAATCTGTGGCCGCGGCCATTTCATAGACTTTTTGGATAACCGCGCGGCCGATGGTGGTCAAGATGCCACGACCATGTCATATGAGCTGGCCGGGTTCGGCCCACGCTTCATTGAAAGATCTGGCCGTATAGTAGCATTGTTAAACCTTCTTCATCTATCTACCGTACCTGACTTTGATCATTCTCATCCTCAATAAGGCATTGATTGTCAGCAACGTCGAAATAGTACACACTGTTTGGGTCCAATTGCAACCTCACCATGGCTGAGCCGGCAGCACCGGACTCGTGACTATAACCAGCTTCTTCTGCTTGTTCACATAGGCGTTAAAGTAAGCCTTTAAGCCCATGACTCCGTCGGCAGCAATGCGGTCATAGATGATCTTATGCCCCGGGTCCTTCGGCTCTATCCGACACTGAAATTTTCGACTGTTGTTGTACGCCATCATCGGTTGACTCGAAATTGGCTTCAACGTTTGCATGTTCATACCAACTTGAACCTTCAGGACAAAGTAACGGCCCTTCTGTGCGTACGCAGCGTTCGTTTCCTCCGTGCTAGTGTGAAACTTGTCCGCTTTCTGCAGAACCACAAGCACACAGCTGTCAGTTTACCGTCGGATATTCAGTCCGTCTCCACCTTCTCAAACGCAACTGGGACACTCTGACCTCACTCCCTCTTCATCAGCGCAGTTGAGAACACGGCTCACAGTTGAGAACACGGCTCACCATCCCGTTTGCAAACGTCAAACGCCTTCTAAGAACTGCCAACAAATCTGTCGCGCAAGAGCAACTGGCCCAACGGTTCAAATCTCTGCTGCTTCTAGAACTTACAAGCAACGGCGACGCATTTCGGATTGCTCCGAATCTTTTGAAAATAGGGCGGCTTGCTTATCACCCACAATAAGCGGGATGCTCTTTAACCCAATTAACTGGATTAAACAAGTCAATATCCTGTTTTGAAAGATGTGCATTCCGATCAGAATCTGTCTGTCGAAGGGCCCCCACATTCGCAGCGTAACGGAACCTCTGACAAAGAGAGCCCTTAAAAGTACGACTGATATATGATTCTCGAGGACAGATTGCATGCAGAAACGACACTCAGCAGAGCTCAATGACTGGGTTCTACAAAAGAAAGTCGATTTTTTGATCTTACCATGACTTTCGCACTTATTTCAGCGACGCTCCCCCGTGACATATCTTCAAGGAACTGGCTGAGGGGGACGCTCGACATGACACCGGGCGGCACTACGGGCGTGACCACGACTTCATGCGGCTTGGAGTCCTTTCTGCACGTCAGCTTGTGCTCCTTCCAGTCGTTCCGCTGACACTCTGCACACAAAGGCAACTTTTTGGTAAAGGAAGTGAATTAGAGTATTAAAGTTACATCGACTTTGCGAGGGCAATATGAAAGGGTCGCCTTTGCACAAGAACTGGTGCACAAAGATATGCACTTCGTTCAGAGGGACACGGAAGCTGGGGTTGCTACCATTCTAACGTTGGATGAATAGCTCCCAGCGATTCCTGCAGCTCGAGACAACAGAACAAGAAAGCGATAGCCTCTCCTCGTATGCCCATTCTTTGACAAGACTCTCGCTGCCGTGAGCGTAATGTGAAGTTTTTCATCAAGCCCAGAACTTGACCTGAACTTGAAGCCTAAGTCATCATTGACAACACAACTGGTCAGACTTTCGTTGGCAGAGTCCGTCCTCCTGTTAGAACCCGTAGACTCAAGAGTCATGTTGCGCAATGCCAATCAAAGGCTCGCTAATGTTTCCAAACTTCAGCCACATTCCACCTGCCCTTCAAGAGACTTAAGATGGATGGTGTCAACAGCCTTACCCTTGCTGCAGTACGGCCGAACATGACACCCCGAGCACCGCTTCGCTTCCACCGGAGTCATCTTCCTTTCGCACAAACTGCAATATATCATCCCCAGTTCATCCTCCGGTCTCCGTGGCTTTCTTCCAGCCCCTTCCCTTCCGTTCGTTCCAGGAGCGTCTCCCCGTGCTTCCCCCCCACTTCTCCCCTCTCGCCGCCGAGCAAAAAGTGCTTGAAGCGCGGGGTATGACATCCCAGTCTTCCTGGGAGTAAACCCGTCAAAGTCCTCCAGATCTGGATCGGCCCCCGCATCATACAGCAGCTTGCATGCCTCAAAGTTGTTGAGCATCACCGGCTCCATCAGAGCGTTGTTGCCGAAGCGGTTGCGAGCATTGGGGTCGGCGCCGTGTTTCAGGAGGAGGCGAGCGAGGTCCAGTTGGGCGTGGTGGGAGGTTGCGTGGTGTAGAGCGGTGTAACCGTTGCAATCGCGAGCGTGCACGTTGGCGCCAGCCTCTAGGAGGAGCTGGCAGGCCTGGAAAAACCATAAAGATGGTTAATTCTTTGAGATCTGGCGCCACAACGGGCTACGCCAGGTTCTTGTAGCATCTAGTCTAATTACGGTTTTGGGAATAGGTAGAGCGAACATGAGCATGATAGAAACAAGGAAGGAGACTACGGTGCGATGAATTACAGGACACCCCTTGAGCTGCGCACCTCAAATAATCAACTCAAACATTGCCAGTTCTTTCAAGTTCTTTGGTGTATGGTTGATTGCACAAAACTAGATGAAATTGACTTCTCTTCTTTGGAATGGAGGCATGTGTGGCATGGCACTGACTAGAGTCCACTTTCAAGATCAGACATTTGACAGCCGATGTGGCTGAACAAACTCCACAGACTGCGCTCTTGTTTCAAAACGGAACAACAGAAGAACACAATTGGGACTTTCCTAATACCTGAGGATAGTCTCCAGGCGGTCCAGAACGCTCCACGTGCCGCTGCGCCCCAAACACCACCAAATGCAGAACCGGGAAGTTCAGGAGCGGCTCCCTCTGCTTCAAAAACTCCTCCCTTAAGGGGTTGGACAGGAATTCTTTGAGGAGGTCGACGCGCGCGCACCAGGCCGCTTTCTGGAAGTCGGAGGGCAGCTTAAGGAAGTTGAACGTCTCACCAACGTCGGCCATCCTGTTTCGGGCCTCCTGCATTTGGGCGCCCCTAAGCGGAGACTGATTTCCATCACCATGGTCGGTGGAGGCCATGATACGAGGCAGTCAACTTCAAGGGTGCTTCCTACTAGTAGAAACACCACTATCCATCAAAGAGAACCTCCTTGGAAGTTGTTTTTCTTGTTCCTCGAGATACTTTTTGGTGCGAGGGAAATTTCGCCCCAATTCTCCCAAGAGTCAAGAGGTGGATTGCACAATGTGGGTTAAGATGTAACTACCTAGTTTATTCAGGTTAACCGAAGGACCCCGTGCTTGAAACAGGGTTCTCTTGGACTGAAAGGACCCGTACTAACCCGACAATGGACTTTGATCGATCAGTCTTTCGAGAAATGTTCATTGCCAGTTCGCAAAGCACTGCTTCTAAGTTCTGATATTCAAGGGACGCTGCAGCCTGCACACCATGGCTTCCTTAGGAATCTAATCTTATCGCCCGTCCGGGTTTTTCGCTCAGCCATTTTGCCGGGAGCCATCAGAAATGTTTCGAAGTCGAATCACGTGGCGGGGAGATATCACTGATATACCCCGCCGCGGAGGGGTATATCAGGAATCTCTTAGCAGGTTCGACGGCGATGCAATGTCCGGACTCAGCGATAAGCGAGTTATACCATTCGAGCTCGACGATATCGAAGGTTTCTTGTCGACCTCGAGCTTGATATCCCCCTCGGGGCTCCGCCCTCGGGGAGATATCAGCTCTCGTTCGACGCGAAACCATCGATATCGCCGAGCTCTCATGGTATAACTACTACTTATGCAACTCCGTGGAAAGACCTGGCAGCTTCATTTCTTCGTTGCAACGAAGTCGACGTGAATGGAGCTAAAGCTGTTGGCGATCACACTTTTAGAATCAATTTAGGTTCTGGTGGATGTCGGCAATGGGTGCACAATGCTGCAGAGTCAGAATTGTTCGACAGTTCTCCTTGTGGCACTGAGAGGCTGAAGGCTGGCAAGAATGGTCCTGGCTTCAAAGTTAAGGTCTGCGAGCTCTAAATTGACCACCAGTTTGAGCTCATTGCTGTCGAGCAATTCAGACTGGACCAGCCAGGTTGCAGCAACCCCTGACCTCTATCCACCTTTCGAAGAGCACGTCTCGGTTGAGATCTCCAGATTGCAAGTCCCCAGCCAGCAGAAGGTGCGGACAAATGATGCCAATCCTGAGTTGGAGACGCACTACGTTCTCGTCGTACATGGGACGTTTGTGAAGAGCAACGAGCCAGGAAAAGTCAAATGGCACCATCCTGATCCTACCGGAGAGCAAAACAACTTCTGCGGAAGGCTTGCTGCTTTACTGGCTGAAGGGCCGCTTGGGTCGGAATGTGTATGGAGAGCACTCCCTGGAGCGAAGGCCCCAAGCGAAGTGACATATCCTTTCTACTGGGATGCGAGTAACACGGACCAGGGCCGCCAGCAAGGTACCTTGCACTCTTCTATTGATTCCAATTTCTAAGAATCTGTTCTTCACCATAATTGTTTGGGTGCGGCAAGGTGTTCCGTTACTGAAAGAGGGAGCTCTACACGTGCAGTATTTGAACACAATTGCCAATGAGCAGTGGACCATAGGTTTTAAGAACCAACTTTCTCTCCTGATGGACAGGAGGGATGGCTTGTTCGTCCCATGAGAGGCCAAGAGACAGAGCAATCTGGTGAAAGAAGTGTGCTGAGGGTTGCGAAAAGAACAGTTGAAGGGCAGTGCTACCTTGTAGTTCATCTCAGATCAGCATCGGTGGTGCTTGTTGATTCCTGTGAAGGAACTCGTGTGGCTTGATCGTGGAATACAATTGCATCAGGCAATTGCTTTATCCATTGTTGACCTCGCTCAAGCATTTACTGCAAACATTCGCATCATTTAAAGCTACATCAAACATTTGTAATCTTGCCCGGTCAGTGGGCCAGGGAGTAATCGACCCCAAGACTCTGCTGATATCAATGCTTTCTGTATTGTCGTTCAGGTGGTCAGAACCTGGCCAAGCTGATCAAACATATTGGGAAGGTTGATCCCTCTGCCAGGGTGCACATCATCGCGCACTCTCATGGGGGCAATGTGGCCCTCAAGGTATGCCAGCCGCCCCGTTTCTGACGCTCTGTGTCTATGGAATCAGCAGTGGTGGCTTTGCTAGGGAGTCTGGCTGTGTATCAGGCGCTTCAATGGTTCTTAAGTAAGAGTTATTAGTAACTTGGTTTCCTGGCTTTGTCTTTTGGAGGCCCTCCCTAACTTCATACTACAATTGGCGTACAATGTTGCAAAGATTCCTTTAGAGCTTGAGAGGGATCCCTCCCCACGGCCGGCTGAGGTGGTATATGAACCTTGATGCGAGACGCGTCGCAAGGGCTGCTTGCAACCGCCCCTCTGCGTTCACTCGTCCAAACGTAACCCCATTACACCAACATGGACAAAAATTGATCTCACTTTTGCAAGCCATGGACATCCCATTTGCACTTCGAGCATCATTATTTCTGAACAATCCCTTCAAACCATTCCATCGAGCAGATTGAATAAAGCACTGTCAGCCGCGTGGGGGCATCGCATATGTTCCAACAAACTTCTCCTCCTGCCCCGCTAATGTTGGTTTAAAGAATCGTCATGAGTAATCAGCGCATCCCCCGCAGGCCATTGAGCAGTACATTCGGAAGCTGGAGCCAGAGTCCACGATGCGGCACTGGCCGACGGCGATCCGCGAGCAGTTTGAGGAGGAGCACAGGGAGCAGGTTGCGCATCTCAGAAAGTGGCGGCGCGTGGAAGGGGTCTCTTGCTGTGGGGCGCTCAACCCGTTTCTGGTCGTCTGGAGGGGCGCGAACGGTGAGGGATGCACTTCTTCTTCGATTGGGTATGAGAGATTTCTCTGAGCGGGGTCAAGGATGTTGGATTCTGGAAGTCAACACCAAGGACATTTTGATGACTAGTGACAAGTCAAGGGTTTATTGGGAAACCCCAAGGTTGGGCCTGTTTGACCAAACATGGATTGTAAAAGCCCCCTCCGTAAGCCTCAGAGTTCGCCACGTCATCACTTCCAAAGGTCCTCAATATCGGTCTGAAGATCTCTAGTGCTTCCTGACCCTGTCCTGAGTGGTCAGACGAAGAGGCGCTTCAGGGGTGTTTCTGGCTACTTTCTGGAAACCTGTGTGTTATTGGGTCAGGTTGCAGGGGGGCCCTTCGTTGTACGGGGCGTTTCTCCACATAGACGGAAGGCGCTCTATGGATGTTGTTGAGCTTTCACTAGAGCGCGTTTACTGGGTATCCTTTTCTTGTTGAGATTCTCTTATTCTGGATAGTGTATGATTCCAGATCTAGATGTAGCTGTGACATCGAGATTGGCTCCCTTTGAGCGACTGAAACGGCGACACTCTGGTGGACACATGAACACTGAGTCCAAGCTCGATGACATCTACGCACATCAGCGTCTTCAGAACTGTGTGTTGACGTGCTTTGCATCACGATTGGCATGGTGAGGCAAGAAATGTCTCTGACATCTACATTTCCGCAGTCAATGGAAGGCCCGAGCGACTGCTGTAGTCCCTTCGAGTTCGTCGAAGCAGTTAATCACAGCATCGGGAATGCTGAGGAGGGCTATTTAGTGCAGGGGAGAAGCACACTCCCCTCAAAACGCTTGCACTTTAATCTACAAGTACAAGAAAGGAGACAGGTGCTGAGATAGGGTTGAACGGAACCCAGTGGCAATGACCGATTGAACCGTCTCTTTGGGCCATCTCGTCTTGGCTCGCTGGCTGCTGATGAAATAGTCGGATGTCACGGGCTCGCATGAAGCATCAAGTTCGCTGAAGCAGTGTTTAATAGCGTTCGAAATGATGAAAAGAATTGTCGACGCAGGGGAGAAGCACACTTCCGTGCAGCTCGCATGAAGCATCAAATTCGCTGAAGCAGTTATTCATAGCTTTTGAACTGCTGAAGAGGGTTTTTGCAGGGGAAAAGCGCACTTCCGAGCAGTTTGCATGAAGCATCTAGTTCGCTGAAGCATTTATTCATAGCATCTGAAGTGCTGAAAGAGGGGTTTTCGATGCAGGAGAGAAGCACACTACCGAGCAGTTCGCGTGGGGCTATTACCACTGGTGGGATTGGTGCCTCGGGCTTGGACGGAGGAGGAAGCGGAAGTATCTGAGCCGCAGGTCAGGCTCACAACTCGCGCACAACAATCTGGTGTTTGCGGGATTTGTGATTGTTGAATGCTGTCACGCAGTGGCGCTCTTGCGAGGAGCCTGCAGTTGGGACGAAGGACTGTGCGGCCTTCTCTGAAATGTGCGGGCTAAACGAAGTGTTCTTTTGTGATAGTCAATTTGAAGTGTCCAGAGAGACTTTATTCGTGGACTTTGACAAAATTCTTGCTGTCTCTTAGTTCCTTCGTTGGTGGTCAACTCAAAGTGTTTCCAGGGAGATTACTTTCGTAGACTTGACGAGACTGTTGCTGTCCCTTCAACTCTTATTCCTTCAAACTGAACACAGGTCTCTTGCTCAAGCAAAAAGCTGTCCGAGATCGGTCTTCTACTGGAGGATGAATGACCCGTCTCGGAATCAACTCTCATTTCCGGCATCCTTGTTTGCTGCGAGAAGTGCTGGAACGTGAATTAATCTCTGTTCAAAAGTTTGCAACAGCCCTTTCAATTCAAACAGCCTCAGTTTGCACTCGATCCAGCGAATGCTACCCCCCCGGTCCTAATGATGTGAACCGCTTCTCTTTCAGTGTAGCAAAGACAGCACGCTAGGCTTGCGGAGAACAGTTGCGCGGGCCCTTGATGATTACTTGCCGCGTACCGTATCCTTCAGGCCATGTCAGATCTTCAGATGGTAATCTTCCGCTCGTCAATTTCTGCGGATGTCCGTTTTCGAGTTTCAAATTGATGCAATCGATCGGTACAGCCTTCATGCCAGGGAAACAGAAGCCTTCTTGTTTGTCCCAGAAAATGAATCCGTATGCGGAGACAGCTTTCGCAGTGCGTACTTTTTGCATGGCACAGACTTGAGTATTCTTTCTTCTCAGGCGCATGATCAGCCCGATCAGCAACGTCCTGGGCAAGGTCGTCTTCCTAGGCACTCCCTTCTACTACAAGCACTGGGCCAAGCGCGCGCGCTTCAAGCTCACCGTCTCGCTCACGTTCTCCTTCCTCCTCGGTTACCTCATCACGTTCACCGCGACCAGCATCTGGGTCGGGCTCTTCCAGACAGACCACTACAGCCTCGGGCTCGTGAGCTGGATCTCGGGAGTTATTGCGATCTTCCTGTTTGTGGCGCATCTCGCGTCGTGGGCGGAGCGCACGTTGCTGCGGAGCGGTAACATGTACCACTCGGATAAGGTACGTACAGCTTCACCACGCCACCTTAATAGCAACTTAAACACCACCAGGAAGTCAGTTTCGCCGTCGAAACGGAGCGGACCCGGGGATCTTCACCGGGGGGCTTGGCAGCTAAGCTTCAACAAGAGTGGGCTCGAAGTCGGTGTGAATGCCCCCCCGCAGAAGGTCGTTGCTGTTGCAGGTTCTGTCCGGTCGTAAGGATTTGCACAGTGGCGGTTACATACAATGGGACGGGTTACGTACCGAAGCAAGTCGTCATGAGGTTGAGTTTGATGCCCTTCGTCGATGAAAGAGTGGCTGTTCTTAGGCAGACTGCTTCGGAGTAGCAAGATGGAGCAGATGGACAGGGTAACGGATTCGCCGGCTCTTCAATTCTGCCTTTCTCAAGGAGTTATTCTTGAATCTGTTCTGCCTTAAAATCCCCCTGCCATTTCTTTGCGCAACTATGCTGGCCCCAAAAGATTCAATCTTCTAGCTTCAGAGAGACTGGACAGGACAGCGCCCGCATGCTTGTTCCGAACCTCAGGTGTTACTGCACAGAACCGGTGCAACAAGTCCCTTCCTGCCATCGCTTAGGTCGACGTTGTAACCAAACACGCAGCCAAAGGATGGTGACAGCAACTCAGCTCAGTTGAGTCGCAAGACTAATAACAGTCAGTAGTACTTTGGGTCATTGTTCCTGTTGCGAAGCGCCGACTTCGCCCCTGTGGTCAGCTTATTGCAGCTCGCTCCTGACTAGGGCGGCCCGCGGTGCATTTAAATGACCTAGCCCCTAGAAAAATGACCCCGAGTAAGCTCGGAATCATAAGCGGAATCATAATCCGGAACTATAAGCGGCACAAGTGATACGCTCGCCAGTTTAGGAAGGAATTAGGGTGGGGTTTAGGGAGGGTACGGGTGCGGAGAAGTTAAACTGTTGGGTTAGGGTTGGATTAGGGTTTGAGATGTGAGTTGAAGCTCCTTATTCTTGGTTCTTTTCATTCCTGAACCAGACAGTCATCCACCAAACAACCGTGGATCATGGCCTTAAAGTCAACGCTTTCGAGAAGCAGGCTTCTGATTTCCCCTTTGAAATCACAGGTACCCTGGTCGCCTGCGATGCACGCCCTCGTGGTCCAAGCCGGCAAGCTTGACGAAGCCGCCCTGGCCCTCTGCACCGAACCCGCCGCGCGCGCTTACCTCCTCCCCCTGGTCAAGCGTGCCACGTCTTCACTAGGCTGGGTGCCCTTCCCTCGGTTTCCCCGCCGCGGCGCACGCCTCAGCAAATGGGCGCTCTTCTTTCTGATCGTCTTGCGCTCGCTGCTGATCAACGCGCTCGATCTCATTCCGCGGACGATTCTCTGGGGGGTGGGGAAGCTGGTTGTGATCCACACGTTTGGCACGCTCCGGAAGATCCTCGTCGGCGCGGCGTTCGGGCTCGACACGGAGAACCTCAACAAGGCGAGCGTGTATGCGGCGGAGAAGCTGACGCTCGGGGGATCCTTCCGGGACATCCACACGTGGGACGTCCGGCGGATCTTAGCGGAGGCGGAAGAACTGTCTTGCGGATGGAAGAGTAGCTTCTCGACCTCTGCGTTCGTGACGGGATCGAGGGGATCCCCTTCCTCTACGGCTTTCACCGGAAGTAGTAACGACGGCGGGGGGGGTTTCAAAGTCGAGTCGTTGCCCAGGGGGGGACGATTGCAGCCGGAAATGTTCGAAGAGAACTCGGTCGATGGTGAGAGCCACGCCTGCGTTGGAAATGGTTGCAATCATGGCATCGGCGGTACGAGCGGAGCGGGGATGCCGACTGACGTGGTCGGCAGCCGCAATGATGTGCGGCTGTCTTCCGGGGGGTTCGAGAGCAGGTATGCGTTTTTGTGGGACGAGGAGAAATTGATGGAGCTCTCCGATAGTTCGTGGATGTTCAACAAGTTGAAGAAGCAGTTGCGCAAAGTGGACCACAGTCCGTTCATCTCGGACGCCGAGTTCGAGCGCGAACTCCGGAGTATCTGCTGTGTGTTCGAGCAGAGATTGTCGGAAGTCCGAGGCCACTTTCAGCTGGCTCATTCGACGTATTATAAGAATACGGCCATTATTGAGGCGGTCGTTGGTTTTCTTGAACGGCTCGATTTGCCGAAGTAAGCGTGTAAATTAGGATATCAGAGTTGTATAATAGAGCTGCGGGGGAGCAAGCGGCGTTACTTAAATAAAGTTTTCAACAGATATGCTCTAACATAGATTGACTTCCTGCACCTCACGTGAATACCGCCGGTGAGGACTGGTTGCCCGGGAAACTGAAGTGATTGTGGGGCAACTTAACACGAGATACTCAGCTAGAGATTAGTCAGAGTCATATGCCGTGCCTTTCGAAGTACGTTCGCCTCTTTACAAATTGCCAGCAACGCCCGCACGCTTAAAATAGATTGTTAACTTATTAGTATCAATACAAGTTGGTTAGTCGATTTTTTTTTGCGAAGCTCAATACTTGTCCAGGCTACCTGTCCGAAGCTGCACCGCATGCTTTACTACGTGCTAGTGGTTGCCATTCCCAGTCTCCAAAGTTTGACGCACCCCTCTTCCGAGGCTTCACAACAATCAAGAGTGATTCGGAATTCCTCGGTAGTGCCATCATTGTGGGCCGCCGCGGGCCGAGGGAGAGCTATGATCCGGCAACACTGTCCCCGATGCATTATGGCATGCTGCGCATGTTATTTTCATCCTCCATGAGGCTTGATCGCTTGGAATCCACTGGCAATGATCGCCTGCCAATGATCGCCTGCCATGGTTGGGCTGGCACGGCAACCGGGCGTCATGCTGTCTTTTGAGTCCGCCAGTTACTATACTAAGCCTCTCTAGGCTCAGTGATATGAATCATCGGCTATGCCGCGCGCCTGGGGCTTGCTGGCAGTGGGGGCGGCCGGCTGGGCCGCGCCCTGATCATATTAATCAGTCCGCAATCGATTGTTGTCTATACATTATCTTTGTATATGAGCATATTATCTGGCAATGATGCGCGCCGGCGCGCCCGGGCCGACTCATCTTGCATGCGGCCAGGCACGTACACGTATATCGAAACCTCGGAACCACCATCTCAGTACGTGGAGTCAGCATGCGTCGATCTATAATGCATGCGCACATGCGGCCGCGAGCGCAGCTGGCAGTTTTACATTACGGTGATCTGTCAAAGCCATGCAACGCGAGCACTGCAAGCAGGCTAAACTTGAAATCAGGATGCATTTAGATTCAGAGAGTCATGACTCTGAATGTCATGGATGCACGGGCATGGATGCCTGGCTGCGTGGATAGCGCGCGGTTGTGATGCTAAATACTGTGTTATAAGTACGTTTGCATGGAGATCATACAAGATGGTCACTCCGACTGTTAGAAGTATTAACGCGCTTCCACTCGGGCTGCACTGGCGCTGTTAGAAGTATTATCGCGCTGCCACTCGGGCTGCACTGGCCGCCACTCGGGTTATACTTCTAACACCGACATGACATTGGCAGCCGGCGCCAGCCACGCAGGCAACGCACACTTTGAGGCGGGCGGTTAAAATACATGGCGGGGAGTCTTTTAATAGACAGGAGGCCGTGCCTGCAGTAGTTGTCGAATTGAAGCGCTTCATCCTTTACTCATTCGACTGCACTAGCTAGGATCAGCAAGGCCCTGAATAAACCTGATCAGAATCTTGCTTCTCAAGTGGGCGACCGGCGATTGATTTCAACTTCGAGTTCTGCGTTTAAAAAACCAACGAATCATGATTTTGCATACATATTTCGTAGCCGTTGGCACGGTTTTAGAATCAACACCAGAAAGAGCCCTGGGCAGGCGAGTCCCTGATGCTGTATTCACGTATCTTGCTAGGCACCTATTGGATAGCCAACAAGGAGCACCTTGCCATCGGAACGAGCCCGCTGCACCCTTCAAAAACTGGTGCAATGTACCTACTCGCGTCCAAAGACCCCCTCCCAATTGCAGAGTCTCTAAGCTAAGGTTTAAAAAAATTCGCCGTCAATCTGTTTCGCTATGCTTGCTGTCTCCGCTTTCCAACCGCACTCGAACGGTGCCAGCTTCACGCGCGATTATACAGACGTATCTGTTGCGCCATTCTCCCCGGCTGTCCGCACCCTCTTAACAACACGAAATACAAGATGGGTGTCCGTCTTTCTTCGCCCAATTCAAGGTTCGCTCCATCTCCCCGTAGTGAAGCTCCGTCCAGGTGGCAATTTTTTTGTGTCGGCGCTTCAAGTACCGCGATAATATCCGCTGCCGCCGTAGCCGGAAAGCCGCTGGATCAGAGCAAACGACCTAAAGAATCGCATGAGAAGAAGCGGTACGGGGCTCCAAATTTCAGGCACAAAGTCGTCGTACTGGAGAGGGAGCTCAGGATCAATATCGGTGATATATATCGGGTCAACTAAGGGACTGGTCGGCAAATTTTGCGAAAGGGACTGGCTTTTCAATCTCGAAAGGGAGTAATCTAGGCTTCTGATCTTCCTCCTTTCGCTACGAAAAACAATCTTGGTCGCACCCTCAATTCACGACTTGGAAAGCACAGTCGAGCGCGCCAAGCTGCGGAGAGATTGCTTGCTGATGGAGTTTCGGCAAGTGGCAATCTTTCTGTTCGTCATGAGGCTTAAACCTTTGCACTAGCTGCAAACGAAGAAGGCTGACTACTTTGGCGGATCAACGAAAGCTTCTCCGAACCATCTCACGAGTGCAAGCTAAGGTTTAGGCTTTGGCAAAAGCAGTCGGGTTCTGAACGATTTTGGGGCGGATTTGAGCGAGCGTCAGAACTCGGCTTCGGGTGTCCTTGGAACGTTCTCTTCCCCATGTGTGTGCCAAACATCACCGCCACTCTAAGAAAAACAGCCCAGCTTTTCTTGCATCCGTGTGGTTCGAAATTCGCTCTTAGTCGGACTCGAGTAAGGAGATCGACTACGCTTCTGAGAGCCAATCGACGCAACGATTCCCAAGTCGAGAGCGGCACTAGTGATTGATCAAAGGTCGTCAACTCTCAGACTGCATATAAGTCTCGGGAAGTTCTTGAATGGGGGGCAGATACTCAAAAATGCAGCAGTAACTCACCAATCTCATTTTCTATATATCAGGGCTCAGATTGCCGACTTTCTGGCTCGGATCTGCAAAGTTATGAGATTCCAAGAGGCTGCCTTCCTTGCCCTACTTGGTTGTGACCGCCGGGCAACCAGATTCCCTTTTGAAACCGCGATCGGTATTCAAGGCCATATCTCTTCAAATTAGGTAAAGTAAGCTCTAGGTATAGTAAGCTCCCAGCCTAACACTAAAAACCTAACCCTCAAAATCACCCGCTCCGCACCCGAACCCACCCTAACCCCCAAACTAACCCCACCCGTCCAGGCTACTTGGCTTACTCTACCTGAAGCTTACTTTACCTAAATTGAAGTCTTATTGACCTGACTGATGGGGCACCGCAGAATGTAAAGACTGTGAATGACACGCACCTCGTGAGTGACCCTGTCCAATCAACGAAAGCACCAGAGATTTAGGATACTTTTGCAACAAGAACTGATGGTCACGATCACGTTCTGGGAGGGGCAATCGCTGGAGCTAGACCGATTGCGAGTATAGGCCTGTCAAAACGCTCTTGGAGATCTTCTTGAGTTCTGCAAAGGAGCCGAAGAGATTGGCGGTAGTTACTGGTTTGCATTAAGCCTTGTCGCCGAAGGGGGCAAGCACCAGTGTTTGAGATCATGCAGAAAGCAGAACGATTTGAACCGCCGAAAAATGGGCCCTTGTATTGGCGAGCCAAAGGGCTCCAATTCAAAAGCCTTCTTTCAAATGGGCTATGATGCTCTCAAAAACTCGTGCAGAAAGAAAGGCTCATCTAGTCTTCTTGTCGAAAGGCTTAAGAGATTTGACCGCCCAAATCAATCTGGCTTCCCTGCACTGTCAAAGCATAAAAACGCAGAAACGGAAGCTGCTTAATATCTGAAGTCGGTATCCGATACAACACTTGACGTAATACGTGACTGAGAATACATATGCAGTGCGATGCCTGCACATCAGTCGGAGAAACTTCCGTTTCCATTGAAGCTGCCGCTTGTGACCTGCCTGCAGACATACTCAATCTGCAAATACGCTGTATCATGTCAGGATCAGTTTAAATATCTGATCCATAGGTGCTATGCAGAGTTTGCCGAATTGACATGGGAGCATTGGGCTCGTGTAGGCGCCGTAAGCACCAACTTTTTCTGGCTGTGCCTAAACGCAGCCATGAACAGCCCTCTTCCTTGCCATTGCCGCCCCAGTGCACAAAAATCAGGATCAAAAGTTGGACTGAAGTATTGGTGAGTTTCGTTTCAAGTAGCCTCGCAAAGCCAGGGAGTCCTTTCATCCATGATGTATTGGCCCCCCCCATTTACGTCTCTGTTCAAGAGAGAGATGAACCAGATTTTTGATCCGCTTTGCATGAAAAAAACTCTGAGTCTTCTCTTCTCGCCGCTACTCGGCACGACTCTGGCGGTCGAAGTCCTGGCCGCTTTTATCGGGATCTTATCAGAAACCGGGAGCGCTTCGCAACAAGACCAGCCTACGGTGCCCTGATTCTGCTTGCTCAAGCAACTTCGAAGTTCAAGTGCTTTTCTTTTCTGGCGCACGAATATGGATTCCAGATTATGCGCCTGGTTTTGCACATAATTTCCAGAAGTGCGTTACAAGACGGATCAGGTCGGCAGCTCAGAAGAGAATCAAAAGAGCAATGTGTGCCTCAGCCCACAGACTACGTGTTTCTTCCTCACCGGCAAAACGATCATGTGAGGCTATCCCCAGGTTACTTCTTTCGCGTCGAATTTTTCCTCCCGGTCATTATCTCGAGGTAAAGAGAGTAGAGATACACAAACAGACATGCATGATTCTCTTGGGGATCGATTCCCTCCAAGCTTTCCTGGTCGAAAGCCTTACAGGACCCCGTTACGAAAATCGCAAGAACAGGCTATACTGAGGTTCTCACAGCGGAGTACGCCGGTTTCACAGTACTCCGTACAGGATTCAGAGCAGCACCGGACCCGCTTGGGATCCTTTTCAGGTCCTGTTCGGACAGAGAATTACTCATTTTGGATCGGTTCGTGTTACGTCTGACAGTGTCTGATTCGGACAGATCGTCTGGTCCAAGCCAAGTCTGAGATCCGAGTCCAATCCGAAACCTCATGTCCGTCTTGCAGCACCGGTCTTAAGCGTGTCCGAATCTGTCCGAACTCTGTCTGAACCCCAAACCAGTCGGATCTACTTTGGACCGGATTATACCAAAGGGTTTTTCGCAGTAAGCCAGTGGGGTCTGGTTTATTCTGCAAAGAAAAACTAGAGTTGGAGGCTTCATCGAATCAGTGTGCGCCATCTAATCAGCACACTTCTAAGCTAGCACACAACTCCTTTCAAAGCTCAGCCAGAAAGCTAGCCACCTTGCTAGATTGCAAGCACAGCTGATTCAATAAAGACGTGCTCGCTACGTCCAGTTTCCAAGATGGACGACTAAGTCCATAACCGTCTTTACATGGCATATGAGACAGTACGC